GGGGGATTAGATTGTCTCTAGGGACTTGGGGGCCAGAGATAGGGCCCCACCGCAGTATCTTTAGAATGGCCTTATTTCTCTACAGTCTTCCCAAGGGAGTCAGAAGCAGCACACGAGTCACTGTGGCAGAGGGGAAGCCCTGGTTCTACCATTTATTAACTTGTGACTGCCCAAGTAATACAACCTCTCTGATTGGGTCAAGATTTTCATGGGCCAAATGGAAATAATAATTAATCTATGAGGGATTCACCTCAAATTGCTATAGACAGCAGTGGCTTATAGCCCTAAATGCAATGCAGATGAAAGTAATCATGCCATGGAGAAAACCAGACAGGCACCTGTTGAGCAGCTGTGAGGTGCATGGTGGAAGTTACAGAAGTTCAAGACCCAGTCCAGTTATGGAGGGATATACAGAGCAATATGAACAAGCTGTAATGTGCTCATTTCAGACTTCATGTCTTGATTCATAATGAATTAGTGATAAAATCAATTTGAGAGGACTGTGATCAGCATTAAAACAAATATCATAGAATAATATAAAATTGAACTAAAATATGTCAGTGCATTAGTACACGTAAGAGTAAATTGTTTTGCCCTGGCTGTATTGCTCAGTTGGTTGGAGCGTTGTCTCGTACACCAAAAGGTTATAATTTGAACCCATACTTAAGTTTCCATCAGGGCACACACTTAAGTTTTAGGTTCAATCCCTGGTCAGGACAAGTATGGAAGACAACCTATCAGTGTTTCTCTTTCGCATCAATGTTTTGATCTCTCTCTCTTTTTCTTTTTCTCCCTTCCTCTCTCTCTAAAATCAATAAACATATCCTCAGGTGAAAAAAAAGAGTAAATTGTTTCATAAAATTCAGTTATATAGGTATATATATAAAATGTCAGTGTAAAATGTATTTCTTATTGTGGGTCTTGGTTTAAAAACTTTGAGAAACAGTGTTCTAAATCAGGATGAAAGTCTTCAGGTTGGAAAACAGTCCATGAAATCTGAGCAGGTGTGGAAGCTGAGGATTTGACCTACAGGATCAGAAGGTTGTAGTGCAAGGGTCAGGAACTGTGGAATCAGACAGGCCTGGGTTTTAGTTTCAGCTCTGTCACTTAGTGCTACATGGCCTTGAGTGAGGAATGTAACCTCTCTAAGTCTTGGATTCTACTTCTGTAAAATAGAGAGAATTACATTATGGTAGGGTTATTATAAAATATATATGAGATAATGTATGTAAAACATTTAGAAAGAAATTGGTAAGTAATAAATGATGTACAAATGATAACTACGATAGCTGCTGTTACCATTGAAGTTGTAGTTTTTAAATTATATTGGGCCCTGAAAGGGTTATGGTGGTTTGGGGAGGGGAGAGAAAGGGGCATTCCAGGTAGGGATGAGTGAGTACAAGGGATAAATAAGCAGTGTGTGTACCGGGCATGAGAATTCTGCAGCTTTAGAAGTAGGTGTTGAGATTATGGGGAAATTTTGGCATTATATGATAAAGGGTTTTTTTTGTTTTGCTTTTGAGGAAGAAAGTGTTTATAGTAAGAAACTTCAGCAATAGGGTGGCTTCACCTGGCAATAATGAGGCCCCATACCTGGCAGCATTCCAGCCAGGGGCTGGGCTGCTAGAGACTATTCTCATTAGGTTCTTTTGGTTGCAGACTCCCTCAGGCCATCTTAAGGAAAGAGGAGTTTTCTGAAGGGTGAGTGAAGCTTTCAGACCTGAAGCATCCCCCATGGGCCATTTGGCCCCTTAAACTGGCCATGGGGTTGGCTTCCCTGTCACTAGAAACTGGCTCATGCTCTCCTTCCACTATCAATAGGAAGCCACCTCAGGGCTTCTATCCCATCATGCTATTTGCAGGGACATCCTGACCTCAACTGCATCTCATGGCTCCTTTCTGAGTATCCTTTCAGGGTCAATTCACAGTGTAAGCCATCCAATCATATAGGGAAACTGAGAGGGCAAGGGACTTGTCTGTTGTAGAAGGGATTTCTACATCAGACAGCAACTTGATCAGATGCCTTCTCAGGTCCTAGACCAAAGGATACGTGAATCTTCTGATTTTTAAAAAATATGTTGATTGATTATAGAGAGAGAGGAAGGGAGAGACAGAAAGAGAGAGAAACATAAATTAACTGCCCTGCATAAGGTCCCTGACTGGGCATCAAATCCAAAACCTAGGTATGTACCCTGACTGGGAATTGAACCTCCAACCACACTGCCCATGGCTGAATTTCCCGATTTTTGTTTTCTTTTCTCTTTTCAGAAGATTTTACTTATTTATTTTTAGAGAGAAGGGGAGGGAGGGGAAAAGAGGGAGGGAAACATTGAACTCCAATCAGTTGCCTCTCGCACTCCCCCAATTGGAACCTCCCACAATCCAGGAATGGAACCCGTGACATTTTGGTTCTCATGCCCGTCCTCAATCCACTGAGCCACACCAGCCAGGGCTGAATCTTCCGATTTTTAGTAAGTGGATAACCTGCAGCTCTTCGAGGCACATCCTGTGCCTAAAGAAAAATCTACCTGCAGTTAGAGAACATGTGATGTGCTGAGTGCTGGGGTACAACTGGATCTCCAGTGTCATCCTTCTCACCATCTCCAAGTTGGTTAAACTCCTCTGCTGTTGCAGGAGAAGCCATTCAAATGACCGTATTTCCCCCAAATTTTCCCAATTTAATGTTTTAAAAATTAGAACAATCTTTCAGTTGACATGTACACTTAAAGTAGTGGTGGATTTTTTTGTATGTTTCTAAGAAGATCTTGCCAAATCTATGGTATAGCTTAAAATCAGTAGTGTCTTAGAATCCAGGAAATATGGTCGTTTGTTTTGTACCCCCTTGAAATTCCGGTTTGAGGTTTGATGTTCAGACTTTGAAACTACTGAAGCTGTTATCTGTCATCAGTTAAAAAAAAACCCCACAAAACACTGAACTTGAATGTGTTCCCCTGTGTATCTATCTGCATTTGGGAGAATGGGTATCTCTGAGGCCCTGCAATCAGATCTTACCAACAAAAATAGTCCTGAGGATTGAGATGTCAAATGGGCATGTGTTACTTGGGAATTCTTTGAAAACTAGTAATCTCAGGTGAAAGCTGTGCCCCCCGTGAGCTTTAGTTTTCTCATCTGCTCAGTGGGGGATCGGACTAGACATGATCCATATCCATGACTGCCAGAACCTCCTGCTGACTCAGTGTGGGCACTCCGTTTCATTTAGTTAACTGGAAGGCTTATCCCCTGACTTGTATAATTGAGTGTTTTGTAGGTAGTGGAACGCTGGATGGCCTGTGATGCGTGGTTCTTTGGTTTCTAGCGTCTGGGTGTTGGGGGGATGCCAGACCTGATTTAAAGGTGTGGTCTCTGCTTTTCTCCTCTCAAGGAGGGAAAAGGAGTGTATTCATGCCCTCCTTGGTTTTGCCTCTAGATGGTGAGAGGGTCAGAAGTTCAAGACTGGGATGACCAGTGTTTGTGTGTCTAGGCTGACCAGGTTTGCCTCAGCCTGTTGTTCCTCCTCAGCTGTTCAGCTCTAAGGCTATTGTCAGGCTTGTGCAGTTCCCCAGATTAACTGCACTGAAGAAGAGGACCTGCCCTGTTGTGTCTCAGAGGCCTCTGCTCTGCCAGGGCCCCGCCCTTTGCTCTTCCAACCAGTAAAAGTCACAGCAGTGCATTTCCTTCCGGCAGAGAGAGAATCAGAATTGAGGACCCGGCCAGGCCCTGGCCTCACCATGTCCTGTTCCTGAGAGCCTCCTCCCAGCCACCTCAATGCCTTTGACCCTGCTCTCCTTTCTGGAAGGTCAGGCAGAACTGAGTTCAGGCTCTTGGCTAGGATCTAACTGGATTTGAATCTGGGTTTTTCCACTGATTTGCTGTTTGACTCTGAGCAAGATACCCTCCCTGGGTATTTTACCTCTCAATATCACCAAGGACTTTTTTAAATAGGAGAAAAAATACAAAGCACACACACACAAATTTAAAAAATACATAATCCACCACTTTAAAAATAACTTTAAAAAGAGTGTATGAGAGGTACACATATACATTTTCTTGTTGTTTTACTGATATTGCTCTGTAGGCTAAATAGTAAAGCATGAATTCATGAATTCCTGGTGACTCACTCCTTAGAGGAAACTCATTCAGTTGAAGTACACTCTGGCAAAGCCAGGGATTCCCGCCCCAGCTTGCCTCAGCTGCTTTGGTGCCCGTCTGCCTGCGTGGAGTGGGTCGCTATGCTGAGGTGTTTTCCCCACCAGCTCTAGTGAGTGTTCAGTGCCAGTAGAATGTTAATACCATGAGGTCTAGGACTTGGTTCTGGGCACAGGAGTGCTTCCCCATGGCCTGCCCAGAGGCTCTAGCCCTAGAACAATGCCGACACAGCTGTGATAGTTGCTCAGTTAGTAGATGTACAAATATAAGTAGTATTTGATGGGGATTTGATGTGTTTGTAGGATTTTGATTGGTAGAGACAACTGGGAGGGCGTTCCAGCACAGGGACTGGCATGAGCAAAGTTTGAAAGGTGGGAAAGGGCCAGTGTGTAATTGGGGAAACTATGAGTAACTAGTTTTGCTGGAGTGAAGAGGTGATTATGTTATTTCTGTACTTGTTTGACTGGTTTTTTTCATCCAACTCTGCACCTTGCATGTAGGCCCTCTGATGAGGCTTATTTATCAAGACGGATCCAGTAAAGGAATGCTGTGCTTTGATGTACAGATGACAGACACTCAGGCCTCTGCCTCAGAAAGACACTGTAACCTTCGGCCCCTTGACAGACTTCGGGAGTGGGCACTTGAACCTGCTGTCTCTCTGGCCTATGCCTTTCAGGGAGGGGGCAGAGTTTCTTCTAATCTGTGTTAGGGTGTTCATGGGTTAGCAGCCCCAAAGGGAACAGCAGGTATGGAGGGCAGAGGGAAAGGACGACTGACTGGACTGGTGGCTAGGGCCTAAGCCAAGGCCTTTGCTTCTCTTGGCACTTCTGAGCACCCCACCCTCTGCTCCATAGGCTGGAGGAAGTCCCCCTGGAGGTGCTGAGGCAGAGGGAGTCCAAGTGGCTGGACATGCTCAACAACTGGGACAAGTGGATGGCCAAGAAGCACAAAAAGGTGAGGGGTCTAGCTTTGGGCTTTGGGTAGGCAGTTGGTAACTTGGGGAGGAAAAAGAGGGAGGAACTGTATCAGCTTAGAGGAGTAGGGGCTTTTCCAACTGCCAGTTGCTGTAGGTATGCCCCATCTACCAGTTCTGAAATGGGAACAGAAGCTGTTTGGAGGTCAGGGCCCAGCCTTCACTTGGTTCTCCCACGTGACTTCAGACTCATGCAAACTTTGTCCTTGGGGCAAACTTCTCTTAGCCAGAAGCCCTTATGGGCAGCTTTCCTTCATTCCTTCCTGAGGAAGTCTTCACTGCTGCTTACCCATCAAGCAGGACTTTATAATACTCATAATAGCTAACATGTGTCAAACATTTGCCATGCTCTGGGCACTTGACCTGGATAATCCTATAATAATCTAGTCAGGCTGGTGGTAGTAGTATCTCCAGTTTACAGATGACCTCAGTATCAAAATTTGAACCCAGGTGTCTAACAATTTTAGTGCCTATACTCTTCACTACCACAATAAGGGCCAAAGCAAAAAGTAAGAAAAATAATTTCACAGTTTAATAGTCTTATAAAAATGAAAACATGAGTGGGCCTTTTCTAGTCTGGCTGTCTTTACACACCAACTCTATTGCCCAGCAGGAATGTCCTTGACCACCACTCATGTGTGAGCGTTGATGCCCTTGGCCACCTCAGCAGGGTTTAGTTACTCCCTAGCCTAGTGGAGGCCTGCCCAGAGCCTCTCAGCTTGGGTCTCTCTGCACAAGTCCCAGTGGAGAGAGCAAACTTTCTGGCTTGCTGTCTTCAGCTGACACACTGGTGTGGTTCAGGCTGGCCCAGTGAACTACAGGGCCTAGCAGAAAGCGCAGGATCAAAGGTCAGGTATACCCCACCCCACTGCCTTCCTCTCTTCATGCCTGTGGCTAGCTGTGTAGCTCGGGGTGAGTCACTTCACCCTTAGACTTAGTTTCCCTCATCAAGTGGGAATGACAATCCTGTTCCAAGGCCCCTATGAGGTGGTGACTGTAAATCCCTGTGCTCATGGGAAGAGAGGAGCAGACCTGGGCTCTGACTCTGGAGTATGTTTTACCTGCCTCCTCACTCTTCAGCTCTTACCCTGAACTTCAGCTCTCTCTTCACTGTCTTTGGTGGTGACTAGTGGCTCTGACTTTCTTGCCACAGCCTCTCTTGCAAATGGGGATTCCAGAGGGGTACTTTGGGGAGCTCCTCTCAGCACAGCAACCAGCACCACTTCCTCTTCCCCTTTGCTTCTCTGGCACTGTGGTTACAGGGTGAGGGCCACCACAAGAGGCTTCATCCCACCCTACCCAGAGGTCGTAGCCCTCTGCTCTACACTAGCCACCTCAGCAGTGGTCACACTGGCCCCATGAGCTTTTCCTGCCTGGCTGCGCAGACTTGGGCTCTCCCTGTGGTGAGGAAGTCATGGCACAGGAAGGATAATACCTGTTTTAGGAAGTGTGTCCAGACCCAACACTTCTGGGCTTATCCCAAGTCCCCAGGAGAGGGGCCCAGCCCTGTGGCTAAAATGCTATCTTCCCCCATAGGACTCTGCTCAAGCACTCTGAATTCAGCCAGCACGGTGAGAGTGTGGCCTCACTCTCAATGGTCAGAGACCTCCTTTCCCAAGGCACTGCCTCAGAGAATGATAATCCCATATGCTTTCCTTACTAATCCCCACTATTGCCTTCTCCCTAAATCAGGTGTGTGGAGATTATCTCTGCACTGAGGAGGATTCCACAGCCAGAGTGGAAAAGCTAGCTAACTCCTGGATTTCATTCCCCAGCCCTGACCCTGACTGAGGTCATGGCTTCTTTGAGAACCTTAGTGGACTAAAGGTATTCCTGGGCTCTCCTGGGGCAAGCCAAGTATGACAGGGCTCTCATGATGTAGGGCCTGGTCTGGCTGAGCTTGACCCTGAGGGGAGCCTAAAGGGCTTGTGACTCTGGCCCATGACTGCATCCCTTTGCCAAAACCTGCCCAGACCAAGTGGCTTCCTTAAGGAGACCCTTGTCCCATAGCAGTGGGAAACTACTCCCAGAGCCCGAGGCAGTTCCCTTCCTCTCCCGTACTCTCCCCACTCTGTAGACAGTCGCAGAAGCTTAAGTTTGGCTCCTGTGACCAGTCAGTCACTGTGTTCTTCCCCCACTTCCCTCAGCCTCTGCTTGTCTCCTTCCTGGTTCTTGACTCTTTCTGACCCTTGGAAAATTTTCTCTTGTTTGTGCTGGTCATCAGGAAACTGTGCTTTCTGTGTTCCCTCCTTTGAGACTTTGCAGTGGGACTGTTTGAGGGGGTTTCCAGGTGAGGGAAAGTTAGGTGTGAGCCCAAGACCCTGAGTTTTCTCTGTCAGGCATCCTCCTGGGGTGGAGGCACGGAGAGGAAGCCATCACTTATTGAAGACAGACTGCTAGGCATATTTTCCCCCCATTCTAATAGATCTTAGGTATTGTCATTCTGATCTTACTATTAATGAGAAATGTTTGGCTCAGTGATGGATGCAAATGCACACCCAGGTGCTCTCCCTACTGTCCTGTGCTCCCCTTTTTTATCCTTAGTATAGGGGTTGTGGGGAGTGTCAGTTCTCCCACCCCCATTCTCACCCTTCTTGACCCTTAGCCTTGAGGTCAAGGAGGACAATCAGGGCAGCTGCCTCAGAGCCTCATTCAGTCTTTTCTGAAGCCCAGGGGGAGCTTGCTTCTCTGCCTGGCTCTGAGAGGCCAGTGGAAGGGCATGGGACTGGATCCCTCTAGCCTGTGTAGTGTAGCTAGGAGTTAGTGAGGTCCTCTATTGTGCAGTCACCTCTGATGGTGTGACCTTAATATTTTTCCTACTCTTTGCCTCATTTTCCCCATTTGTAAAAGACTATAGTTTTTCACACTGGATTTTGACATTGGAAGCCTTTTTTTCTTTTCTTTTTCTTTCTTTCTCTTTTTTTGTCCCCAAAGAGGTGCACCATTCCTGGAGGTACTACAATACCAGGTTGATGCCGAGCAAGGTCCTATTCTATCTTCCTGCTCCAAAAATCCATTTAACACGTCCTCAGATGGAGGATGTATCAGATGTTAAGCTGACAAGAATGGATAGCTATGCTTGATTTTAGCCAAAAGGCCAATAAGTGATGGAAGTCTTTTTTTTCTGATAAAAATAGTTATACAGAATTGAGCATTGGCTGTGGGTCATGAGCTACCCAAAACACTTTCTCCCTCACCTCTTCCAGTCTGTGAGTGATGGGGGAAAGACCTATGACATTTTAGCACCCAGGCCAGCTGCCTCTGCCCCAGGCTAGTGATCATGGGAACTCACAGGATTAGGGAGGGCAGACAAAACGAGGGTTTCTTGATCAAAACAAAGAGGAAGCCATTTTGATCAGCTCCCATCTTCCTTCTGAGTTGTGTTGAGATTTCTCCTCTCTAGGCTGGCCATGTCCTACTACATGGCCTCTTAAACAGAGACTGCCATGAAAGTGGCCCCGCTGCTTTTTTGGTCATTTCATGAGCTACCCTTCCTATGGCTAAAGCTGTGCCCCACACTATGTGGATTCCTTCCTGGTGACATCCTGTGGGGCTCCTCCAACTTGTATTGTTTCATTTTGATTCAGAAAATGTTGATCAGGATTGAGAAACCTGTGGTAGACCTCAGTAATACCTGCATTGTCACTGGACCAGGGGATGTAAGGACTCTGCCATCACCTGCTGGCAGCACATTTAATTGCACTCACACACACACTCCTTCGTAGGATCTACATCACAGCAATAGTAGGAAAGTCATCTTTTCTCCCCTTTTCTTCTCTTGCTAATGTGTTGGCAAAGGCCTGCCATGCACCAGCAGAGGGGCTGGGCTGGCACACAGCCTCTAGGGGAGTTGCCTGGGTGGACACATTGGCACGGCCTCCTTTTGACTTTCAGATCCGTCTGCGGTGCCAGAAGGGTATCCCACCTTCTCTGCGGGGCCGTGCTTGGCAGTACCTGTCAGGAGGCAAGGTGAAGCTACAGCAGAACCCTGGGAAGTTTGATGTGAGTTGCCCTTCCTTCACTCTGTTGTTCCTTCCACATCTCCCGGCATCCTCCTCCTGGCAGTGGTCCTCCATGTGTCCACCTGGACCTCAGCAGTATGAGCAATGAATGGAACCGCCCATGAAGTACCTAACTGTCCGTTCTAGCCTTTTCTGTTGACAGTCACTCAGGTTTGCTTTCTTATGTTCAGGGGGGCCACCTCCCAGCTCTTCATGAGGAGGGGACACTCAGACCACTTCCCTGAATGCCTGGTGCCCTGTGCTTAGGGCCTTTGGGAGTCTGCCTAGTAGGGCCACAGAATCCTCAACACTTCCTGGCCACCCATCCTCTACTCTTTCTCTCTTCTCATTCATGCTCGGCCAGACACAGTTCACCTGTGTTGCTTGTGGGATTATTAGCCCGGGGTGTGTCAAAGCCAAACTATATCATATCCTTAGGAGTCAGAAGCCAGTTAGTGGCCAGGGTAAGAACACTCTGTCCTCCATTTATGGGGCTTCTTGGGCTTCCCTGGGCTGGGCAGCTTCTCTAGCATACTCTCTTAGGAAAACTATGGGAGGCATTTGGCTTCCCTGGGGTTGCCCTGGCTTACCTGCTGGACCTGGCCTCAGGCATGAGGCTTTCTCCCAGGCTCTTGGAACTGATGACAGAAAGACAGTGAGAAAGTTGTGAACCACCAGCTCTTTGTTTGCATACTTCATGCTTCAGTGAACACCGTTCCCAGACAAGGGTGGGTGAAGCAGGGCAGCCTAGAGTGTCTGCTATCGACCTAGAGAGGGTGAGAGCTGTTTGCTGGCAGTACTTGGCACTGGAAGTCAGGGAGTCTGGTAGAGTGTGTCTGCCTGGAGGCAGCTCTGGATTAAGGCAGTTGGACTTGACAGACCCCACTCAAGCAGCCTCTCAATTTCAGAGTCTTCCTCCCAGTGACAGCATATCTTCCATTTCATGGGGCTGCACCCTGGGCAAAGGGGAAGGCTGAGGGGTGGGAGCCGCACCTAAGACCATAGCTTACTTTCGGCTGCCAGAGTACAGCATGAGAGCTGAGAACTTGGGCAGCCTGGCCAGCCTCCTGTTAGCAAATGCAAATGCATCATGTGTGAACAGCAGAGCACAGAGCTGTGTGTGCTGAGTGGTGTGTCGGGAGAGGAATGGGCCACCCCTGTGGAGTCTTGAAGGTTGCTTGTGGAAGGAGGTAGATTTGCCAAGAATGGTCTTCAGGATGCCCTGACGTAAAGGTCTTCAGGATGTCCTGAGACAGTCCTAGGGGCTGGAACAGTGGTTTATGGGCACACCTGGAAGGGCTTTGCCTGTGAATGACTCGGAGGAAATAGACAGGGACGTTAGGCTCCTTCTGGCTGCTATGGGCACATGAGCCCAGAGCAGAGGTATGGTGAGGGGGCTGCTGGTGGCAGCACATACTTGTTTCTGTGCTCCCATGCAGACCGAAGTGGCCAACCCCAACCTCAGCTGTCAGGGCAGGTGCTACAGTACCTGGTGGCTCTAAGACAGAGCCTCTCCTGCACTTACAGTTTCTTCCTCTTTTCTTGGACAGCACCTCCCATCCATTTCTTACCTAGTTTTCTTCTCTGGCTTCACCTCATGATGGCACCAGTGCCTTCAGGCTGTCTTAGAGGCTGCAATAGCAGCAGCATCTGCCAGCGACATACACCTGCCTTTTAGTCTCAGCAGCCTTTCTCCCTACCCGTCCTTCAGCTACAGTGTTTTCATTTTTACCCACTTGTGTGTGGTTAAGCACCTTGGGCTGCTGAAGCGCCAGGCAAGCACATCCTAGGAACTGCCTTTTTGGGTTCTGAGGTCCCCGCCTCAAAGGAGCCCTCAGGAGAATTTGTGGGGCCTTTCTCCCTTTTCTTACAAAAGCAAACCTGCATTGTACTCAGTACCCAGCCCTTGACCTGACTTAGGGGTGCACAGGACACAAACAGGCCCTTGTCTTAAGGGTGCGTGGGGCTCCAGAGGTTGCACACCTACCTCTTCAACTGTGTGCCTGCTCAAGAGTCTTCTCTGAAAGTCCCTGGCTCCTCCTGCCACACTCCAGCCTTGACTACTCCATCAGCTTTTTCTCTCAGTACTTACTCTCACATATTAAGTTACCTGGTACCCCAGGTCCTTTAGTTCACTGCTGGAATACCCCCACCAAGGGAAAAGGACTCGTGTGAAGTTACCTGCCAGTCAGGGCGCAAGCCTGTGCCTGCGTCCACTTGGTGTGTCTGCTGAGGACCAAGCCTTCCTCTTGGGGGCCTTCTCTGATGCTGCCCCAGTCCTGTGGACAACAGACAATGTGTATTTAGTCTGCTCCCCTGCTCAGCCCTCTAGATTTTCTTTTTGTTGATTTTCTTCTTTTTTAAAAAAAGATTTTAGCCCTGGCTGGCATAGCTCAGTGGATTGAGCACGGGCCTGGGAACCAAGCAAACATGGTTCGATTCCCAGTCAGGGCACATGCCTGGGTTGCAGGCTAGTTCCCAGCAGGGGACACACAGGAGGCAACCATACATTGATATTTCTCTCCCTCTCTCCTTCCCTTCCCCTCTAAAGATAAATAAGATATAAAAAAAAAGATTTTATTTATTTATTATTGTGGGGGGAGGGAAGGAGAAAGAGAGTTAAAGGAACATGAATGTGCAAGAGATATGTCGATTGGTTGCCTCTCACATGTCCCCCAGCTGGGAACCTGGCCCGCACCCCAGGCATATGCCCTGACTGGGAATTGGACTGGTTCAGTTCCCTCTGGTTCACTGGCCAGCACTCAGTCCACTGAGCCACACCAGCCAAGGCAAATTTTTCTTCATTTAAAGGTGGGGTATGAATATACATAGATTAAAATGCACAGATCTTAAGTATGTAGTTCAGTGAGCTTTGGCAAATAATATGCATGTACCTAACATGCAGATCAAGATACAGAATATTTCAAATGATCAAGAAATTATTTTTCTTTATGTAGTACAGTTGACTTTTTTTTTAATCCTTACCCTAGGATATATTTATTGAGTTTTGAGAGAGAGAGAGAAAGAGAAAGAAAAAAAAAGAAAGACAGGGAGAGAGAAAGAAAGGAAGACAGGGAGGAAGGAAGGGAGGAAAGAGAAGAGAAAAGAAAAGATTGATTGGTTGCCTTATGTACACACCCTGACTGGGATTGAACCTGCAGCCTTTCTGATGCACGGACAGTGCTTCAACCAACTGAGCCACCCGGCCAGGGCATAAAGTTGACACTTGAACAATGTGGGGGTGAGAGGTGCTGACCCCCCCATCAGTTGAAAAGTCCACTTATAACTTAAGTTGGCCCTCTGCAGTTGACTCTTGAACAATATGGCCCTGAGTTGTGTGAGTGCCACTTATATAAGGGTTTTAAAAATCTGCATATATTGAAAACACCAATTTGTGAAGATACACGCATCCCTATGTTCATTGAAGCATTATTTATAATAGCCACAGTATGGAAGCAACCTTGGTGTTCACTGATAGAAAGATAAAGGGGATGTGTTACATATATACAATGGAATATTTGTTGGCCATACAAAGAGTGAAATCTTGCCATTTATGACAATATGGATGGACCTAGAGAGTATTTTGTCAAGTGAAACAAGTCGGACAGAGAAAGACAAATACCATATTATTTCACTGATATGTCAAATCTAAGAAACAAAACAAATGAACAAACAATGAAACAAATACAAACCCATAGATACAGAGAACAAACTGATTGTTGCCAGATGGGAGGGAATAGGGGATGGATGAAAAGATAAGGGATTAGGAAATACAAATTGGCCATTACAGAATAGTCACGGATATAAAGTACAGCATAGAGAATATAGTCAATAATGTTGCAATTTTATGCATGGTATCAGATGGGTACCACACTTATCAAGGTGATCACTTTGTGAGGTATATACATGTCTGCTAAGTTGCATACCTGAAATGGCTATAATACTGCATGCCAACTGTAGTTTTAAAATACATTTTTAAAAAATCTACATACATTTGGACCCCTTGCAGCCTAGCAATTCAAATTTGTGCTGTTCAAGGGTCACCTGTACTTTGTGTTCATAAATGGTATTCATGCTTAAAATGCTCACAGAAATTCAAAGACAGTGGTTAAACTTTGTTGAAATCTTAACACACAGAGATGGCTCTGAGGTTAATGGTTTGACAAATGTCCTTCCAGACAGCACTGTGTGCAGATCACACACACACACCCCACCAGCACCACCAGCACCACCCTGCTTCCTGAATAGGCCACACCACTAGCACAGGGAGACAGGTAGCCAAAGAATTGGGACTGATGGCTCTGAGTCAGCCTTGCTTCCAGGCCCAGCTCCACCATTTTTCTAACTACAAGGCCTTGGGCAAATGACTTCTCCCTCATCTGTGAACAGTGTAGTGATAGGACTTTTATGGTGGCCTTCCATCTTAGGGGTGTGACATAAGGTGAGTCCTAAAAGAAATTTCTGTAAGTTATTTCCAGCTACAGCTGTAGTGGACATTCTTACCCACACAGGTCTTCCTGGGGCCCTCCCTTACCCTTGCTTCTTTGCTCTGCTCAGGCTTTTCCACCTGGACTTCCTGGCCTATCTCTGGAAGGCCTGGTTCACGATGGGATTGGGTGGGCACTGCCCCTGGTGGGGGTTCCTCTAATACCTGGGATAGTTTTATCCTCTTAGCCATCCCTAACTCCTAGTATATTCTCTCAACCTTGCTTCCAGGAGCTGGATATGTCCCCTGGGGACGCCAAGTGGCTGGACGTGATTGAGCGTGACCTGCACCGGCAGTTCCCTTTCCATGAGATGTTTGTGTCCCGGGGGGGCCATGGGTGAGCAGCCTGGGCGTGGTAGTCTGTTGATGGCTTTAGGCCCTGTCCCTCAGAAGTCAGAGGAGGTAAATGCATTTGGAGGTATCTAGGGGGCTCGGGAGTTAGGGACCCTGAACTTCACTTTTAAGATTTTATTTATTTATTTATTTATTTATTTATTTATTTATTTATTTATTTTAGAGAGAGGGCATGGGAGGGAGGGGAGAAACATCAGTGTGCATGAGAAACCCCCAACTGGGGATCTGGCCCACAACCCAGCCATGTGCCCTGACTGGGAATCGAACAGGCAACCTTTCAGTTCATAGGCCAGTGCTCAACCAACTGAGCCTCACCAACCAGGGCCCAAATTCCACTTTTTGAGTTTTCCTTCTTTGCCTTGAGTTTAATGGGTCCTCTTGGCATCTCTTCTTAGCTCTGGGGCAACTTTCATTATTTATTCCCCAGAGGGTAAGCACTTGCCCAGCCTGATTGTTTCCTGAGAACAGGTTTTAGTGGGAAGAAAGACAGAGATAGCAAGGTAGGCAGAGGGTATGTAGGAAGGGGGAGAAGTGGCAGGCCAGGACACCAAGACAAACCCCTGGGACAGAGTGGGTTGACTGAGATGCCACAGCTTCTGGGTGAGGGGCCCATACTTCCAGCCCCCGACACATCTTGACCCTGTATCTGGCATCCTGTCTTGGCCTTGCCCCGCTGCTTTCTCTTTTGAGGCTCTGCTCTCACCTGTCAAATGGGGGAAGCACCTCTCTTCCTCCATCCCCTGGTCATGTGAGAGTTCACTTGCTACAGTCAGAGACTGACCCCTTAGTGACCACAGTCAGGTCACATCCCCTCTCCAGAGAAGTACAAATTCTTAGACAAGTCTGGTCTAGTGGGGCAGAGGTGAGGGCAGTGGGTAGCAGAGTCATACCTGTCATTCCTGCAATGCTTGGCTTTTCCACAGCCAGCAGGACCTATTCCGTGTGCTGAAGGCCTACACGCTGTACCGACCTGAGGAAGGCTACTGCCAGGCCCAGGCACCCATTGCTGCTGTTCTTCTCATGCACATGCCTGCTGAGGTACCACCAGGCCCTGGGCGGGCAAGTGGGTGGGCAAGGAACACCCAACAGCAAGGCTTTACGTCTCTTTTGCCCATAGCAAGCGTTCTGGTGCTTGGTGCAGATCTGTGAGAAGTACCTGCCTGGCTACTACAGTGAGAAACTGGTGAGTGCTTGCTGGGCCCAGGACCTGGCCTGGGACCTGCCCCAGGCTGGATACCATTTGTGGCATCTCCAGGACTTTCTCTCCACAGGCACTCTTGCCCTCACTTGAATGCTTCCTGGCCTTTCTTTCTTCTGTGCTTTCAAGATGAAGTCCCCAGGCCAGCCAGGGTCAGGTCTCCCAGGCTCCAGCATCATTGGTTCCACACTTGTTTCCATTTCAGCCTTCAGCCATCTGGCTACTTGGCAGGATCATGTTTCCTCTAGTGCACCAAGTTCTTCCCTGCCTCGGCCTTGGCACAGACTTAAACCTCTGCCCCTTTCCTTCCCTTCCTTTGGTAACTCCTTTCCCTCATCTTTCTGCCCTCAGGCAGCTTTCCTTGACCCTGACAAAAAGGACATCAGGCACACGCCACTCAGTATTCCTGTTCCTGCCATGTTCTGGGCACTTAGCCCCCCTCTCACTCTCCCTAGATTTTTTGCTCCTGTGACCCATGTCTGTTTGCCCCCTTCCACCAAATGCTCATAAAGGGGACTCTCTGTGGGCTCATCATTGTATTCCATAACCCAGCGTGAGGCTGGCTCCCTGCAGGCAGGAAGCCACCTCAGGAATGAATGAATGCTTGCCTGGTGCTGGCGGCCTGGGTGAGGTCCCTGCCTTGGTTGGTGTGGGCCTATGGTCATGAATTCACTCTCCCCCCAGGAGGCAATCCAGCTGGATGGGGAGATCCTCTTCTCACTGCTGCAGAAGGTGTCGCCCGTGGCCCACAAGCACCTCAGCCGGCAGAAGATTGACCCTCTGCTCTACATGACAGAGTGGTTCATGTGTGCGTTTGCCCGCACCCTGCCCTGGAGCTCTGTGCTGCGGGTCTGGGACATGTTCTTCTGCGAAGGTACTGGGCTGAGCTCCAGGGAGCAGCCCCTGCCCCCAACCCACCCCACAGGGGAGCCTCTCTTGTCAGAGGTCTCTAAAGGCCCGCTGGTACTCATTGCCCACACCCCCCATTACAGGAGTCAAGATCATCTTCCGGGTGGGGTTGGTGCTGCTGAAGCAAGCGCTGGGCTCCCCGGAGAAGCTCAAGGCCTGCCAGGGCCAGTATGAGACTATCGAGCGGCTGCGAAGCCTCAGTCCCAAGATCATGCAGGAAGCCTTTCTGGTCCAGGAGGTGAGGCCCATACCTTCCTCTCACCACTTGGAGGGGGGGATGTGTGGGCCCTTTGGAGGGGAGCCTGGTAAGCCTCTGCACTTGAGAGTGGGTCACTGATGCCAGGCTCAGTGTTCAGCAGCCCAGCACGGAGTGGGTAGACCTCATCCTTCTATCAACAAGAAGAGGGGGCACAGAGAGGTCTAAGTTTGTGGGGCCTTCCCTGTTCTGAACTACTTGGGAATGAGAGGAGCTACAACCCATCGCCCTCTCTTCCTCCGTGGTACCGTATCCATGAGCTTGGCTTTAATTTCCATTTTTTCTGTCTTTTGTGGATTTTTGTCTCTTGGAGGCTGTAATTAGGTGACATATAGCTGGGCAAATGGAGTCATGAGTTGTGGGCAGCTTTTTCCTCTGAGGCGGTGGGTCTCAAGGGCCTGGCTCACCACTACTAGGAGACTTGTGACCACCACAGGGACCAGACCTTTATCCTTCCTATGGTCAGACTTTAGTGACCAGGACTGGAAGACTCTAAGGCAGAGGGGGGTGCCCAGGGTGGGAGGCAGAAAGGAATTTTCTTCCTGGTGCCCACTTGCCTATCACTGCTCCCACAGGTGGTGGAGTTGCCAGTGACAGAGCGCCAGATTGAGCGTGAGCACCTCATCCAGCTACGGCGCTGGCAGGAGACCCGGGGTGAACTGCAGTGCCGCCCCCCGCCTAGGCTGCATGGTGCCAAGGCCATCCTGGAGGCGGAGCCAGGCCCCCGACCCACTCTGCAACCTTCACCGTCTATCCGCCTGCCCCCAGATGCCCTGGTCCCTGGCTCCAAAGGCAAACCAAAGCCATCCAAGCAGATTCAGAAGGAGCAGAAGGAGCAGCAGAATCAGGAGACGGCGATTAGGCAGCTGGACAAGACCCCAGTGCCAACTCAAGCCAAGGTGGCAGCTGCTGCAGGAGACGCATGTCCCCCACAGGATGTGCCCCTGAAGGACCCAGTCCACCCAGCCCCAGCCCCTCGGGACCCAGCTCCCCTGGATTCAGCCCACCACCGCTCCCAGGAGAGTCTGACGTCACAGGAGAGTGAAGACACCTACTTGTAACCCTGGCATCTCAGGCCTCCAGGGCGGGGTCTCCACACACCTCCATGGTTCATGGACTGACACTCCAGGGCCTGCCCACCCTCTGAGGGCTCAGCTGCCTAACCACTGGGTACAGAGAGTCTGGCTGGCCCAGCACAGATTCTGCCTGAGACTCCTTATTTATTTTTTCCAGAGTGGAGCTCAGGCCACCCCAGCTGGGGCAGGCAGAAGTGAGGGCCTCCTCCTAGGGGGAGTCCTCTTGTTCCCCTGGACTGGGGCACTGACATTAAGGGAGTGGGTGGGGTGTTCTTTGTGTAAAATACAAACATGGGTTTTTTGTACAGAAATAAACAGGCTTGTGTAGAGAGCTGGTGTGCAGCTAGGGACTGGGAAGGGGTTACCACCCCTGGTGCACAGCATATCTTTTCCACTCCCTACAGAGCTGTCATCCTGGCCCCAGCCAAGCACCAGAGCCTCTCTGAGAAGTACCTGTGCCAGAGAAGATGACAAGTCTAGGGCCAGCCCTTATTCTTGGTCCCCCGTTTTCCCTCACCCCATCCCTCTGCCTCTTGTCCACCACCTACCGTGGGTGAAGGTCAACCCAGGAGAGTGAGGCTGAGTCCCAGTGCTGGGGCGGAGGGCCTGCTCCCCAGGCCTTGATCCCTACTCATCACTGATTGGGAGAGGGCCCTTAAGGAGATCCCTTCAGGGTCTTTGTCCTCAAGGTGTGGCCTGGATGCTACTTGTGGCCCTGATAAGGTTCTGAGTGTTCATTCTGGGTCAGGTGCTGGTGCCAGAGGTGGGAGACCATGAATGGCCTCATGTGTATAACCCAGCTCACCAATGGGAGAAAGGGGAGAAGGCTGGGTCTTGGATAAAAGGCCACCTGTCATTTAAGTGCCATGCTGGGCTGGTTGTGTCACCAGCTGATCAGGTAGGCTCTATTATCTCCATTTGACAGATGAGGCAACAGAGGGGCTGAGTGAGAAAGGTGAGGCTTGTCCAAATTTACACCCAGAGCCCCTTGGCTACCTCTCCTGACGAGGGTGTCAGATAACCTGGCTGCCATTGAGGGCCCAGGCAGGCTCTATGGTCACAGCCTGATGACTGGTGAGGTTATGGACAGGGTGTCCCTGGGAGAGGCCCCCCTTCTGCTGAGGAAGCAGCTTTTCCAGTCAAACAATAGCGGCTGTTCCTGGCAGGCCACCAAGCTAGGCTGAGCCATGGAGGGAGGGGGGAGCAGAGGGAGGAGTAGAGCCTCCCTAGGAGCTTTCGGGCATCTCAGGGCTTCGGCCTGGAAAGTCTTGTCCTGGTACAGCTGGGTATACTGAGGCCTGAGATGGTTAAGGCAGGCCATCACTTCCTGCCTCCCAACCCTGGCACCTATGGTTTTCCACATCTACACCATGAATGAAATGAGGGGCTCAGCCTTTGAGGCCAGTCTCCTCCCCTGACCCTCCAGGGAACAGGTCAGGATGTGGCAGCCACACAGTGTTCCACAGGAACCCATTGAGCCAGAGCCTGGGGAGGGAAGGCGCTGCCCCGCTTCCATCCAGCTACAGTGGAGGCTCCAGTGTAGGCAGGAGGCCTGTGTGGGCCTGCTTTAACCTGCTTGGTTCAAAGTCTCGGATCTGAGGCCTAAGGATGCTCAAGCCAGACAAGCCCCCCCCCCTTCCCAGCATGCTGAGTCCTGTTTACTGGGCCAGCCTTGGTGTGCCGATGCCTGCTTAGTCTTGGGGTCTTAGACCTGGGGAGGCCTGAGCAGAGCCCAGTCCTAACGTCAAAATGAGCCCGTTAATCCTAATAAGCCTCAGGCCTGTGGTGTCTGCCAGTGAGTGCCGGGAGCCTCCTAGGGCATGAAGCAAGTTTAGATATGCTCAGGCTAGATGGGTTCTTCTAATGGCTGCTGGCTTTGGGAGGCCTCGGCAGGGCTCAAGTCTCAGGTCTGAGACCTAAGTACCCAGTGAACCCCAGATACATGGGCCTGTGCGTTGCAGTTTGAGCCTTGGGCTTTCCTGGCCCATAAGCATAGTCTTCAGGGACCTCCTTAGGCCTGGCCACCTTCAACTCCCTTCCCAACAGTATGACGCAGGTGATGGGGCCCTTCCTATTTCTGTGACCATGGTGGGGAGACTTCTTCCATGAGAGGAAGGAGGGAGAAAGGTGCCCGGATACTTTGTTAGGAGAGAATCCTGAGTCACCAGGGCTGCAGAGCTGACCTCTACCCCTTCATGCTCCAGAGGTTTGGGGCAGCATTCTGGTCCCAGAGAAGCCCTGATTCTCCTCGCGGCCCTTCCAAGCCTTAATGATTTCAATCATAAGACCCATTTTGGGACCCTGAAAACCAGAAAGGATCACGTGCCTCCTGCAAGCTTCCTACCTCAGGTTCCCCCAGCAACCTGCGGAAAGGGCGGAGCACGGGGAGGGGGCGCGGCATGGGCGGGGTCTATGGGACTCGAGGGGGCGGTGTCAGCTGGTGATCCCAAAGCCAGTGCTGAAGGAACGGAGTCAGTTGGGGCGGGGCTCGGCGGTCGGGAGGAGCCTGGTGAGGCCCAGGCGTTAGAAGGGGGTGCGGCCACCCGGGATAGGCCGCGCGTCTCGCAGGGCGTGGCTATCTGGGAGCCCGACGCAGCGCGGGGCTGGGCTGTTCAGAGGCGTAGCGGGCGGCGTGGAACTGGGCTGCGCGGCGGCTCCTTTAAGCCCCCAGCACCACCCTCCACCCCGCCCCCGGCGCCGCCTGGGTCTGTGTGGCTGGCGGCGGGGTCGGGTCCGCGCGGACCACGATGGAGCTGCACATCCTAGAGCACCGGGTGCGGGTGTTGAGCCTCGCCCGCTCCGGTCTCTGGCTCTACACCCACCCGCTCATCAAGCTGCTATTCCTGCCCCGCCGAAGCCGGTGCGCGCCCGGGTTCGGGGGCACAGATTAGGGTGGGCTCCACTGTCGCTCCGTGACAGGGTCTGGATATTAGAGTCGCCACGAGGCGAGCGGGGGCGAACGGGAGCGGGCGGGAGGTCCCTTTCACCCCACCCCACCCCCGAGCGCCATCCGGCCGGGCCTTACCCTCCCTGGGACCGCCGTCTATCCGGGGCCAGTTAAGGCGCAAACAGCCTGAAGTGGGCAATGCTTAATTCCGAGGGGTGTCAGATAGGGGCATTCCTTCCTGGCGACTGCAGGGAACTTCTTCCAAACGCCTCCCATCTGTTCAGAGGGGCCGGTGTAGGCGACTCCAGGTCTGCCACGGAGCTGTCTCCGCGGGTGAGCCTCTCTTCCCTCCCGGAATGGAGGGGCGAGGGGCTCCTGCGGAGGTCGGGAGGCGAAAAACAGTTCGCGGTTTCGGACATGGGCCCCGCACCCCACAGCCACTGGGAGAAAACTGAGGCTTGAGGGGGGCAGAGGGGCTCCAGGCGTAGGGGTAATTTGGGCGGATGGAGCCAAATCTACCCGCCCCCTCCTCCCAGCCCAGGCTGAAGATGTTCCCCACCCCCAACCAGGTGCAAGTTCTTCAGCCTGACGGAGACTCCCGAGGATTACACGCTCATGGTGGACGAGGAGGGCTTCAAAGGTGGGGGCTAGGCTGGAGAGAGATGTTGAACTATCCTCTTCGCGGGATTCTCACTAGATGCTGGGGGTCCAGTGACTCAGGAGCTGAGGCCTTCAGGGCAGCAGGATCTGCATTCAACTTGGATTCCTCAACTCACTGGCTGTGTGCCCTTGAGCAAGTCACTTCCCCTCTCCGAGCTGTTCGTTTCCTCTTATGGAAAATGGGTAGTTATAATTCTGATCCGATAGGGTCCCATGAGGGCTGTGTTTGAAGGGCACTTAACAGGCTCCGACTGGCAGCAGGACCTCAGTTATACTTACTGGCAAGAACCAGGGGTTCCTGTGGCTGTAATATCCCCTTAGCCATTATTTTCCCCTGGACTTTTTTCCCTGGTGCTGTTCATCTCCTCCCTGGCTGTCTGGGAACTCCAGGATTCTGAGGGTTGGGGAAGGAATGCAGGAGCAGGCAGCCAGCCCGCCCAGGGCAGGGTCCTGGGGCTTGGGGTGGGGGGAGGTCTTAATCCTAATTGCTTGGGCAATTAGCAGCCACCTTGGCCCTGGCCCCTGATCTGGATTGGACGCCAGCCTGGCCCCTCCCTGGCCCCTGGAGCTGACATCTGGCTCCAACTCCTGCCAGTGTGACCTATCCTCACAGGCTTGGAGTCTCAGGCCAGCCAAATGGGGCTTGACCCTTCTCCCACTGAACTGTTTCAGGCCTTAGTTTCCCTGTTTGTACTGCAGAAAAGTTTGGATCTGAAAGTTTGGGTCTGTTCAGGAAGAAGGGCATATCCCAGGCAACTTGATCTCCTGGCGCCCTCTTGTGGCGCTGACACGGTATAATGCCTCAACCCACAAAACATGGTGAGGCGGTACATACTGTTATCCCATTTTACAGATAAGGAAACTGAGACTCAGAGAAGTTAAATAATTTGCACCAGGTCAACAGTAAGTAAATGGAAAAGCTGGAATTTGAATCCAGGCAGGCCAGCACCTGAAGCATATCTGTCCTTGCATACATGCAAATGTAAGGAGCAGAACTTTGGGGAGGGAGAGAGCCCCAGTCCCCAGACCTGGCCTTACCTTGGTAGAGCCCTCCAAGGCACTAACAGGGAAACTGAGGGGCAGGGGCCAGCCCTTCAGGCCCTGACTGGTCATGTGGCCTCTGCTTGCAGAGCTGCCCCCATCTGAGTTCCTGCAAGTGGCCGAGGCCACGTGGCTGGTGATGAATGTGTCATCCCACAGCGGTGCAGCGGTGCAAGCTGCTGGGGTCACCAAGATTGCTCGCTCGGTCATCGCGCCGCTGGCCGAGCACCACGTGTCCGTGCTGATGCTGTCCACTTACCAGACGGACTTCATCCTGGTGAGTTTCCCACAGGTGCAAATGTACAGCGGGGTGGTATGGCTGCCTGGGACCAGTGTGATATGCCTTTTGCTGTGGCCCAGGTGCGGGAGCAGGACCTGTCTGTGGTGATCCACACGTTGTCCCAGGAGTTCGACATTTACCGAGAGGTGGGCGGGGAGCCAGTGCCTGTTGCCAGGGATGATTCCAGCAATGGCTTTCCCCGTGCTCAGCATGGTGAGGGCGCCCTCTACACCCAGACTTGGGCGGGTGGGCGGGGGCTCCTCTTCTCACTAAGGCCCTTGTGCAGGTGTGTCTGTTCATGTGGGGAGAATAGCTGACACTGCCTGCCTCACAGGATAGGGAGTTGGGGCTGGGGAAACTAAGGCAGGTTTCTGTAGAACAGGATGCTATACCCAGCCCAGGCCCCTCCCTGGCCAGCCACCAGAGGGCGCCCCAGCCCACAGTTCTTTTTTTCACCCTCCATCTGGTTCTTCCCTGTAGGGCCCAACCCTACAGTGCATCCCATCCAGAGCCCTCAGAACCGCTTCTGTGTCCTCACACTGGACCCCGAAACACTGCCAGCCATTGCCACCACCCTCATTGACGTCCTCTTCTACTCCCACAGGTGGGCCTCGTTTGCATTTAGTCTTTGTCTTCACATCATTGTTCGCTATCCCCTGTCCCGCCACCTTCCACCCATCCCTTGGTCCTGCAACTCTGTGCCCTGTTCTGTGTCTTGGGTTCCTGGCAGCCTTGATGCCTACACACCCGTCACTGATGTTCAGGGAAAGGCCCCAGTGCTACAGCTGGAGCCCTCAGCTGTAGTGTGGGCAGGGCCACCCAGGAGCAAGGCCCTCTGACCCTGGGGTCCTTTGGAACAGGCAGGATTCATTGTCCTCCCCCACCCCCCACCCCCATTCGGAACCATTAGAAGATCAGGGTCCTAGGACAGGAAAGGAAAGTAGCCCAGAGACAGGAGGGTTGGCCTGTGAGTCTAGAGGCTGCCTGGGAGGAGATGGGTGGGCTGGTGCCTGGCACAGTACCTGAGCCTCCTGTCCCTCCCCAGTGTCCCCAAAGAGGCAGCCTCTGGTGATCCTGGACCTGGCTCCATCACGTTCTTTGCCTTCTCCCTCATCGAGGGCTACATCTCCATCGTCATGGATGCGGAGACACAGAAAAAGTATGTGACCCCTGACCCTAAGCCAGGCCCAGGGAAGAAGGATGTGGAGCATCAGACTCAGGAGTCACCAGGCCCCCTGCCTCCCCAGGTTCCCCAGTGACCTCCTGCTGACCAGCTCCACAGGAGAGCTGTGGAGGATGGTGCGCATCGGGGGACAGCCTCTGGGTTTCGGTGAGGAGCACCCCGTGTTTGGGGGCTTGGGGAGGGCCCATGGGGTGACCGGGGTGACCCATGTGGATCTCTCCTCAACCCTCAGATGAATGCGGGATCGTGGCCCAGATCGCAGGTCCCTTGGCTGCGGCCGACATCTCTGCCTACTACATCAGCACCTTCAACTTTGACCACGCCCTGGTGAGCACCACAGGCTGGGATTGGGGCTCCCAGAGGGACCCTGAGGCCCAGAAGGATGTGGGGGACAGGAGAGGGTCCCAGCAGGCTAGGAAGTTGGAGCGGCCCTGACCCCCCCCTTCCCCCGCCCATCCACAGGTGCCTGAGGACGGCATTGGCAGCGTCATTGAGGTCCTCCAGCGGCGGCAGGAGGGCCTGGGCTCCTGAGGCCGGAGGGGAGCAGCAGTCTCTGTGCTCTCTCCTTGTCCCCAGGCTTCCAGAGACTTCTCTAAGCTACTCCTCAAGCTCTGGAGTGAGCCCACTTCCCTCTCCTCCCTCCCTCATTCATACAGGAGGACCCCCTCCTTCTGTGTTCTGTATGTAAGCTACGTGCAGGCACCGGCTCTCACATGGACACGCGTGTCTGCCCACACGGGAACACGGTGCTCTGGGCTTCCACGAGGAAGCCCTCAACCCATCACTCCCTGCACAGCCTCCGGCGTTTGCACATTCCCTGCCTGAGGCTCGAGTCGCCCCCCCTTCTCAGAACCCCGGGCCGGCTGCTTCCTGGACAGGGCCCCGATCTCCGTTCTGCCTCTGGCTGGGCTGTCTTCCCTGGCCAGGTGAGTTCCGACAGTGCCTCCCTGTCTTGGGGCCTCCAAGGAAAGTATTTTTACATCTCTCTCTTCTTTAAAAAAAAAAAAAAAATCCAACTTGTTAATAAAGGGCTTGCAGTGACCAGGCTGGGCTGTGGTCTTTGGGGGTTGTCTGTGCTGCCCCTCGGGCCCCACTGCCCGAGGTCCTGGTCTCCCGAGCAGCTGGCTTGGGTCCGGCTCCCCTCACCTGCAGGGTGGCCGTGAACCATCTCCACTTTAGACGAGGATCCGGAGCTTTGAAAAGCAAAGTGACTTAGCTAAGGTTACATGATTCCCATCCAGGGCTGCCTGGTTCTGAAGTCTGGGCCCTTTCTTCATTCTTTGCTGCTCCTGGAATAGCCCAGAAGGCCCTGAACGTGGGTAGAAACTCCCAGACCCTCCCACCTGGGGAGCCCCCAGCTTTCTCTGCCCCCTTGGGAATGGCTAACCTGTTGTGAAACCACCTCGAGGAGGACCTAAGAGCACCTTTCTTCCAAGCTGCTGCCCGCTTTCTTTCGGACCATGCCTGAGCATGGCTGTCCTCCACAGGAGTCCCTGCTGGCCCAGAGATCAGTCGGTTCTTGCCTCCCCAGGTCACCTGGATCAGTGGTGGAAGGGGGCCAGCCAGAGCAGGGACTTGGGGGTCCGCACAGTGGTCTTCCCCTACCAGGAGGACAGGACAGGGGCCTGGAGGCCACCTGGAGCCTGCTTCCCTCTGGGCTACACGCCTGGGCCAGAGGCTCAGCCAGCACATCCGGGCCCGAGTTTCTTGTCATGGGGGGGCCACCTCTCCACGCGGTGTGGCTGGGATTCCGCTGCGGCCTGATGGGGCCCCACAGATGCAGCGGGGTGGTTATCAGGTGCTGTCAGCCCAGACCCGCCCGCACTCAGGAAGGGAAGAAGGGTGTGACTTCGTCGTACTCAGAGTTTGTGGTGGCTCCCCAGGAAAGTCAGAGCGGGGCCAGGCCTCTGGCAGTGCGCCCGCCCTGACCCCGGGGACCTGGGGACCCACAGATCAGAGGAGCTGAGAGCGCATCCTGGCCCGGTGAGTGAGCAGTCAGGGACCCTGGGGCTAGCCATTTCCCCTTGGCCTCAGTTTCCCCTTGTGCATGGAGACCTAGGAGTTTGCTCCTTCAGGACCGGATGCCCTGTGGCCCTGGGCAGGGGGCATTTCTTTGTGATCTTTCCTCAGGGAAGGGGTCCCATTCTTCCTGAAGGGCCTGTCATGGACCCTGCCTGGCTTAAAAAAATGTCTGGGGCTGAGGTGGGGGTTTTAGAACCAAAATTCTCGGAGCTGCTCGATCTGCGGCTGGAGAGCTCCTGGCTTCACATTTGGCTCCGGGGGTCTCTCCGTCTGTCTGTGTCCCTGCTTGATTTGAGTGTTGTTGTCTTTATGGTTTTCCAAGTGCCTTGGGCCTGGCCAGTCCCTCAGACCCCACAACGGTGAGTTCTTGGGGCCACCCACGGGACCGGCTGGAGCGAGGGGGCTGCGGGCATACCCAGTCAGGTGCATAGTCCATACTGGGGCATACCCAGACTCTGTCAGGCTTAGAGGTCAGCATCCCCACGTGTGTCTCTTTCACTCATGTGTCCGGGTGGAGACCTTTTAGCTCCTAGGGTATCCTTGCAGGTCACTGGGCCAGCCCTTGACCTTCAGTAAATTATAAAAAGGGAGACCTAGCCCCACTCGAATCTGGCGTACAGGGCTTGGGAAGTACCTGGGGGATGCGACCCTGACTGCACCTGCCTCTGATGCACTTGATATTGTCATCGGACAGGCCGTGGGCTGTCTCAGGCCGTGTGCTGTCTCAGGCTTGAGGGGGTGGCCCTCAGAACTGCGTCCTTGTTCCACCCATGCCCTGGGAGGGTTTTAAGGCAAAGAAGTCAGTCTGGTCATCCCAGCCTGGGGTTGGGCTCAGCTTGGGTCAGCCATGACCCGGGCTGGGGACACTTGCTGACACGCAGCTCCTATCCTTGTGCTCCTGCCCTGGAAGCCCCGTCCACCTGCTACATCCGCACAGCCACGCCCAAGCGCGGGGCTCAGGGCCCCAGCCTGGAGTCTGAGTGCTTGTCGTCATGAAGACGACAAGCCAGCCCGGGCCTGGGAGGGCCCGGCCCACGGTCCCTCGTTGAGTGGGAAGGTGCTCGCAGCCCTCCAACTGCCAGCCGGGTGTCCGGCATCTGCAGGGAGGATGTGGACCTGGGTGGGGGGTTCTTGGGTGGGTGGGGACGGGACATGAGGAAACCTCAGGTGGGAAGAGTCAACGCGGCTCATTTCCACCCTTGCTGATTTTCATGCCTGGATGGAGGAAGTGACCTCTTGAGTCCTTCTCGAAGATATTTAAGCAGAAATTCAGGGTTTACAGTTCTCACTGCCACCCCTGCCAGGCAGGTCCATGTGGTCCCATGCGTGCCAAGTGGCTGCAGAGCTGGGTTCTTGGTCCTGTGTGGAGGGGAGAACAAAATACACGCTTCTTCATGTTCCACCAGGCCCCAGGATTCTACAGGGTGGGAAGGGGCTGAGCGGCAGCCAGGAGGGAAGCCCAGTCTGCAGCTAGCGTCCCGTGTCCCTGTGTGTGTGTGGGGGGGGGCGGGGGGGGCTTCATTACTTCATGTATTCAACACGTGCTCTTTATCCCCCTCAACACAAGGGGAAATGAAGCACAGAGAGGTGAAGTCACTCCCCCAAGCTCACACAGCTGGGCATGGCAGAGACAGAACTCCAAAAGAAGGTGCCTGGGGAGGTTCCCTGGAGGAAGGGACACTTTAGTTGAACCCGGAGAGATGAGGCGATTTTGTAAGATCCCTCGCAACCCCAGCTGTCTGCGTTGGTGGCTGGGTGTCTGCTGCCGGTGGCAACCAGTGCGTGGGCAGGCACGCGAGGCCTGGCCCCGGCTCCTCCCTGACCTTGGCCCTGGCCGGATGGATGTGTTGAGCAATGGCTGTGATTCGTGTCTCACTTTCCCAGGCCAGCCTGGTGCTGGGGGTTCCAGAGCCCGGGCTGTCTCACATGGGGTTGCCCAGAGCTTCCTCCCAGGGGGTTGTTCGTGGCAAGTGGCCGCACGAGCTGCATGGGCGTGATGTGCAGGTCTGCGTCTGCAGTCAGTGCAGGCCTCTGTGCGCATCCGTGTGGGTCAGTCTTCCGGTGGCACGTGTGCACGTGTTCGTCTACACGTGTCTAAGAGTCGGTGTATCCTGGCGTGAGGAGTCTGCGTGTCCGTGGCTGTGCGTGCCTGACTGTGGGTGAACAGCAGCTGTGTGCCCACCGTCGCTGCATGCATCCCGTGTGTGTGTGTGGCTGCAGCGGGCGTCTGTGCCATGTACACGTGCCTGTGCGTGTACAAGTGAGCATGTGTGGCAAGAGTTTCTGTGTGTCTACTCTTGGCTGTGGTTGGGAAGTTTTTATCGTGTCCCGGGGTGTGTGCACATGCATCTGCACACACAAGAACGTGTGTAACTGCCTGTCCACTTTCCTTTCCTGGAGCCATGGCCCCCCGGGCCTTCCTGCCTGTCCCCGGTCCCAGAAGGCCCAGCTCCCTGCAGTCGCCGGGGCAGTGGTGGGCTGTGCTGGGCCTGCCCTCCATCCTCCCCCTCCCCCTTCCACCCTCGCCCCTCACGGCCTCAGCCACCTCCTGCCTGGCCTCCCTCCTACCTTTCCGCCTACTCCTGCTCTGTCGCTTCTCCTCTGTCTGCAGCCTGGCCCTGCTTTCTGCCCACTTTGCATGAGCCCCTCAGCCTGGACCCTGCAAAGTGACACCCTCGCTCCTCAGGGCCCCGACTCAGCCCACGGTTGTCCTCGCCTGTGGCCTGTGCTGCTGCCCCAGACTCCCCGCTGCTCTCCCTGTGCCTGTCTCCCCCTCATCTGGCTGCACAAACGCACACCCTGCACGACCCTAGCGCGTCCCCGCCCTCCCTGATTGGCAGCCTCCCGCAGCCCCCCTCCTCAGGAAGTCTGCCTCCGAGCGCCACCCCCCAGGCCTGCACCAGCTCTCCTGCCACCAGCGCCTCGCTCTAGATGTGCCCTCACCCACAGCCAGGAGCCTGCCCCCCGGCAGCTGCAGGCCCTGGCCTTTCAGTCGAGGTGAGTACTTTCCAAGTCAACCCAGGAGCCCTGGGGCAGGTGCTAACTGGCAGTGACACCGGAGGGGGCTGCGCAAGGCCCTCTGACTCCCTCCCATCCCTTATAGCTGTCCGCTTACTAGCCCCCTTGGTTTTCCTGGGGTGGATGTGTTTTTAAGCTCTGCCTTCACAAAAGGGTTTTCTAATTCACGTGTAAGTCACATAATGTAAAATGCATCAATTTAGACCCTGGCTGGTGTGGCTCAGTGGATGAGTTCTGGCCTGTGAACCAAAGGGTTGCTGGTTCAATTCCCAGTCTGGGCACATGCCTGGGTTGCAGGCCAGGTCCCCAGTAGGGGGCGTGCAAGAGGCAATCACACATTGATGTTTCTCTCCCTCTCTTTCTCCCTCCCTGCCCCTCACTCAAAAAATAAATAAAATCTTTAAAATAAATAAATAAAATAAAAGGCACCATTTCAAAATGACTAACTCAGTGGCATTTCATGCATTCACAGTGTTGTGTGGACATCGCCTCTAGTTTCAAAACATTTTCATTAAGGCCCCGAGAGGAAATCCCATACCCATGGGCTATCCCTCCCCAACCCTCCTTCCCCAGCCCCTGGCAACAACCAGTCTGCATTGTCTGTGTGGATTGCCCTCTTCCTGACATTTCGTATAAGTGATATAATAATTGACTGCTGACGTCTAGCCTTTTTCACTCAACATGATGTTGTCAAGGTGCATTCAGGTGGTGGCGTGTGTCAGTACTTCGCTCCTGTTCATGGCTCAGTAATATTCCACCGTGTGGGCACCTCATTTTTTAACCATTATCCATTGATGGACATGGGGGCTCTCACCTTTTGCCTTCTTGACTGTGGGGGTGCCCAGCATTTGCTTTTAATGGCGTATCGTCTGCTTCTCTTCCTCACACAGTCCGTGGACAGGGTGCCCCAGGCCCCTTGCCCCTTGAATGGCTACCAGTAGCCCCCCTGGACACAATAAGCCTTGACAGTTTTCTCTCCCCTACGAGCTGCAGAATTTGTTTCATTGTTTCAGATCAAGACAAATGCGCAGGGTTTCTTTGATGTCTCCATAACAACAAGAGGGGGAAGAAAGCAGGTCTTCCCAGCACCTGTCCCTGGTCCTTTTCTCTAGACCAGTAGTTGACATCCCTGCAGATGAGTCCCACCTCTGTGTCCCAGGGTCCCCTTGGGACCAGGGCTGTCGTTTGCAGACGGCCACACGGCAACCTTGGTCAGCTCCACCCATCTGTTGCCAGCTGTCTTCTCTGTTGAGCAAATGTCCTGAGCTTCAGCTGCACTCACTTCGCCGTGCAGCTGCTACCAAGAAAAGGCTCCAAGCCCATCCCACTTCCTCCCTCTATGCCCTCCGCCCCTCCTACCCCATCCTCATGCTGTGGCTAAACTAAGGACTCCCCCCATGAGTGCCGGGAAACCAGTTCAGCCAGCAGAAAAGAAACTGCCATCACAGCCTGAGTAGCTGGGACATGCCATGTTGTTGGCCCGGGCTCTACGCAGGAACCGACCGGAGACTCAGGGAAATCACTCGGTGTCCCTGGTGGCACCGGCCACGTTCTCACCTTGCCTGATGAGCAGGACCCCACCCCTGCCCGTTGGGGTTGGGGGAGGTGGCTTTCCCAAGCAACAGACCCGTGAGATCCTGGCTCAGAAACACCCGGGCACGTGAGAGCGGCCTGCCTCCTGGGTCCGCCCTGAGTCCTGGGAACAGGTTCTGACGAATCCCGTTCAGCACACAGTTGCACTGCTGGACCCTGGGGTACCACCAAGGCCAGGCCGGGTGGCATCGCCTCCTGTGGCTGGGGGCCGGAAGTTGGCAGCTGGACAAATGGGTCTTCCAGGTCCACCCACAGGTTGTGTGCTGGCCTGCGTGCCTGTTGGCCATTCAGAGCCCGGATGTAAAAACGCACTCACGGTAATTTCGCTCCCCTGTAAGCTTTGTCTTTCTTACCGATTTGTCCCCTGCACCAAGGTCGGTGCCCACACATACAGTGAGTCACTTAAATACAGGTTGAAAGACAGACTCAAAATCAGCTGTGGTTTGTCCGGTTTTCAAAATGAGGGCTGTCCCCGCACGTAAGCCTGGTCCCTCTCTGTGGGGCTCTCAGGTGTCACTCATGTTGAATTTGTTCTGATATGAATTTTTTAAAGGAAGCCAAAGAAATGACTTTGCTTTTCATTTTTTAGTTCATTTTCCAGGAAACTGTTGACCTCTGCAGTGAGTGAAAGAATAGATTTTTGAACTGGTTTTAGAAAAATTTTCATAAAGGAAAAAGTCGGTGTCTTGGACATCGAGGCTTCCCCTAAAAAAGATCCTATGCTTCAGGGTTTTGTGAGTGATACGGTTCTGATTTCCTCGGGGAGAAGTGGCCAGAGAAGGGATGGCGAAGGCTCCAGGCGAACCGGCTCCTGCCTGGCAGCGAGGCGGGCCTCACCTGCAGGGGCCTGGCTGCAGCGGCACTGGACGTGGGATGGGGTCATGTCTGGGTCCTGCACCCTGAAGGCCACAGATGGCCTTCCTGGGGCTTCTGCAGATGACCACACACCAACGACCATGCATTCGTCCATTCACTAAGGATTTAGTGAGCACTTACTACATTCAGGGCTTTTGGTGCGCTCCAGAGAAGGGTGGTGGGGAGTCACCACACGGTCTACACCCCTGGAGTTTATAGTCTGGCTGAGGAGACAACCCCACAACTGCAAAACTTTACAATTCTGAAGAGTGCTACAAAGAGGGGTAACACAGTACTCTAGAAGGGTCAGGGGAGCAGGGCGGGGACCTGCCCGGGGCGGAGGGGAGATCAGGGAGGGCTTCCGTGAACAGGCGAAGTTTGGACTGGACCTTGATGTCCACGTGGCAGTTGAGTAGGTGGAGTGTCCAGGCAGTGGGAACAGCCTGTGCAAAGGCCCTGGGGTGAGGACTCAACTCCCCTGAGGGACGAAGAGGGTCAGGAAGGTGGCAGGCTGCAGAGGTGCCAGTGAGGCTGAGGAGGTGGGCAGGTCCTGGCGGCTGTGGCAATGACCTTGGCTTTTCCCAAATGGCCATGGGAAGCCAGGGCAGTGGGACGAGGCTACGTTGCACAGGCCCCTCCGGAGGGGCCACAATAGCAGTAAAGCTAGTTTACAAATGACTCCATGTCCCCCTCCTTCCTTCCCTTCCTCCTTCCCTGGTAATTTCTGGCCACACCTTACCTGCGGTTCTCTGAACTTGTCTTATGGGGTCTCGGTTGTGCGTGGCTTTATGCAGTTACCTCCACCTGCGGAATTTATGGCATCTCTTTTTCTGCATTCTGCATTCAAGGAAAGTGCTACCTTACCAGACCTGCACAAATACGACTTCCTCCTCCTCCTCCTCCTCCTTGCTCTGGAAGCCCTCCCCCGACCCCCACCAGGGAGTGGATCTCCTATCTCCTAGCAGTGAGAGCCCTTTGTATTCCTTTTGGCTAAGCCTTTGCTTGCTCTCAGCTGTGTGACCTTCTGCCAAGTGCCCCCCTCGCAGGCCTCAGTTTCCCCACCTAGAGGACAGAGACGATGATTTCTGCCTCAAAAGGTGCTTGTGAGGAGTTGTGAGCTCGCCCACGTGAAACGCTCGGAACTGGGCCTGGTGCACAGAAGAGCCCCAGGAACGCACGACCGTCACCACTGAGCACACAACGGGGCACCAAACCATTTATGGCAAGAATATGATGTTTCAAAACACGCACTGTATGTTGTCATTGTGAGAAAAGGCAGGGCTCGCTAGACTTCCTGATCCTCGGTCAGTGTTTGGGTTATCTTATTTACAGTGACTTCTCAGTGCTCAGGGCCACTAAGGGACCCCACCCAGCTCTGTAGGGTTGTGGGCCTTCTGTGGTCATCTTGCCTGTCCCCTCACCTCACAGAGAGGCCCTGGGCTCAGAGAGGTGGCCGGGGGTGGCGGGGCTTGTTCCAGGCCAGCCCGAGAGTGGACAGCAGGGCAGGCCCCTTGTCTCCTGGTCATCCCACCTCACAGGAGGTGTGTCGGCCCTCACTTGCCTTCTCCTCCTTGGCCTGAGGGTTCCCTGCCGAGGAGCCCCGTCTAGGTGCAGGGGAAGGCGGACACTGAGAGGCTCCTACACAGAAGTGAGTTCTCTCTCCTGGCTGCACTTCCCTGAATGGGCGTTTGGGCTCCTTGGAAGGGGGATCAGTTATCCATTTTGGGGGAGTCACCGGGAGCAGGGGGGCATGCCTCCTTACCCCTGTGGACACGCCGGGTCCCCGAAGGACTATGTAGCAGTTCGGCAGCCAAAGGATCCCCCAGCCCAGGATGACCTCACTGACCTCATGGGTAGAGTCTTGCTCACCCCACGTTTATGCAACAGTGTCTTTCCCAACTGTCCTCAAAGTCACCCTGTGACATAAGCAAACGTGAGCCTTCATCTGCCCCAGTGGCTGGCGGGTGAGAGTTTACCAAGCGCCTGTTAAGAGCCAGGTGCTGCCCTGGCTGGCATAGCTCAGTGGATTGAGCGCGGGCCTGCAAACCAGAGTATTGAGGTTCGATTCCCAGTCAGGGCACATGCCTGGGTTGCAGGCCAGTTCCCAGCAGGGGATGCATGAGAGGCAACTATACATTGATGTTTCTCTCCCACTCTTTCTCCTTCCCTTCCCCTCTCTTGATAAATAAATAAATAAATAAATAAATAAATAAGCCAGGTGCTTTTTCAAGCACCATCTCGCCGAACCACGCTGACCGTCCTACAAGGCAGCATGTGCCACTATGGTTTTTAAACATTGAGATACAAGGCATACACCCTCACATGTATGGTTTTTAAAGTGCATGGGCCGTGGGTTTTAGTGTAGTCACAAGGCTGGGCAATCATCAACACCACCCAATTCAAAATCCCAGAAGAAATCCCGCACCCATTAGCTGTCCACCCCTGACCCCCAAACCCCCGGCCCCAACCCCTGGAAAGCACGAATCTGCTTTCTGTCTCTGAGGACTGACGGTTCTGGACATTTCATGTGAAGGGAATCATAAAACACGTGGCCTTCTGTGAATGACCACGTTCCCTCAGCAGGATGTTTGCAAGGCTTGTCTGCATCGTGGAAGGTATGGTACCTCATTCCGGGCTGTGGCTGGATAATGGTCTATTGTAGGGATAGACTACGGTTTTTTTTAAAAGGTTTTATTTATTTATAGAGAGAGGGGAGGAGAGGGAGAGAGAGAGAAATAGGGATGCACCAGAGAAACATCAATCGGTTGCCTCTTGTGAGCCCCCAACCAAGGACCCAGCCAGAAACCTGGGCGTGTGCCCTGACCGGGAATCCAGTCAGTGACCCCTCGCTTTGCAGGAGGTCACCGAACCCACTGAGCCACACCAGTCTGAGCTAGACCACTATTTTTTAATCCATTTTCTGTTGCTGGACATTTGGGTTGCTCCCACTTTAGGGCTATTGCAAATAAACACTGCTACGAACATTTGCATGCAATTTTTTTGTGTAAACATACATTTTCCATTGTCTTGGTATGCAGCCAGGTGTGGAACAGGTGGGTGTCTGACATCTTTGTGCTTAACCCTTTGAGGAACAGCCAGACCCTCCTCCAGAGTGGCTGCACCACCCACTGTGCGCTCACACCGGCAGTGCGCCAGGGCTCAGATTTCCCCACATCCTCTCCCGCACTGGTTACCGATGGTCTTTGATTATAGCCACCCCAGTGGGTGAGAAGTGGCATCTCGCTGCAGTTTTGATCTGCATTTCCTTTTTGGCTAAGGATGATGTTGAACATATTTTCATGTGCTTATTGGCCATTTGTCTTGTATGGAGAAATGTCTATTCAAATCCTTTGCCCATTTTTGTTTTGGGGTGTTTTTTTTTAAAGTATAGTTTCCATTTTATTTTTTCCCAGAAGACTTTTCTTCAGTCCTTAAGGACGCAGCTCTTCATGTGGGCTTTGGTGGAGGTTGTGGGACCGCACCGCAGGTCTGCACTGGGGTGGGGGTGTTGGGTCCCCCCAGGCCTCATGGCAACGGTTACTGACTCCGTTGCTGTGGATGGCACACCTCACACAGTGGCTTGGTTTTGGTCCAGTTGGGGAAGCACATCAGCCTCAAAGACACTCACTTCGGAAACATACCTAACGGCTGCAGCCTCTACTGTGTTTCAAGCAACATCGCCATGGCCTTGCCCTTGGGCATGAGTTGGTTGTAGCTGCGCAGTGAATGGGCTGGGCTGCGGCCTTTTTTTGGCATGAGCATCATTCCTTTTCTTGGTCATCTTGGAAGCAAGGACCCAAGAGGGGCTCCTTTGTCCATTTTTTAATTGCGTTGTTTGTCTCTTGATTGTAAGCTGTGCCACTGTGGTCTACAGAGGAGAAACAGGAGGAGAGGGGGTGCGCCCGGGTCAAGAACAGCGGGCCCGCAAGTGAATTGGCCTCCGCCTCCCACCCAGCTGACCAGGGGCCACTGCCTCTCCACCCCGTGGACGAGTGGAGTGGCCTGCAATTTTGGCCCGTCTCCCAGGCCACCCAGGGTTCTGCCCTTGTAGAAGTTGCACCAGGGAGCAGCAATTCTGAGGAACCAAGCTGGCCCCTCTTCCCCTCCAAATCACGCGGAACTGGCTGACGTGGCCCGGGAAGAGGGGAGAGCTCGGGTCCTGTGGTCAGGGAGCCTATTTATATTAACTGGGCCGTGTTGCAAGCTTTTCCTGCTGGCGACAGGGACGTCACTGGGTGCTGACCTCACCAGAAATGCTGACGCATCTTTCCTTCATGCTTCGCTCAAATGGGCAGCCCGGCCTCCCCACCTTGGGGCCACTCCGTGTCCTCCTGCCCATCGCTGTCCCCTCCCACCTAGCTCTGGAATCTCCCCCAGTGTCCCTTCTTCCTGTACACCCGCAACCACGCCCTCTTCTTGTAAACTGTTATGGGCTGAATGGTGTCCCTCCGACTCGTACATTGGTAGAAGTCCAAACTTCTAGTGCCTAAGAATGTGAATGTGTTTGGAGATGGCACCTGATTAAGGTAAAATGAAGTCACTGGGGAGACCCTAATGTCATATGACGGACGTCCTTATAAGAAGAGGAGATTAGGACATAGACACACACACACAGACCCAGGAAGGACCACGTGAGGAGACGACGAGAAGGCAGCCATCTGCAAATCAAGGAGACAGACCACAGGACGGATTTGACCTTGCTGATGCCTTGACCTCAGACTTCTAGCTCCGAGGCTGTGAGGAAAAACCTTTCTATCATATGAGCTGCCCAGCCTGTGGGATTTGGATATGGCGCCCTGAGCAAAACAATGGAGAAGCCCTTGCTGCCTTTGGTAGCCCAGGCCCCTGGGGCTCACGCAGGTGCTCAGAGCCTGGTCTTTCAGATTCCACAGCCCTGGTTGTTTGGATGCCCTGCTTCTTAAATAGTGAGCTCAGGCAGTGGCTTCATGTCTCTGGGCCTGGCTTCTTCAAACTGAAGGGACAACTGGTCCCCCTGGATCATGGGGAAGGGGGGAGGAGGTAAAGCCTCAGCTGTCCCCCAGAGGTGGGGGGTGGTCAGCAGTGGCCGAGAGGGACTAGAAGCTCTCTGACCAGACCTGGCCCTGGAGCCAGGCTCCAAGCTTCTTTGATTTCCAATTTCCTCGTTAAAGGGAGCCAAAGCACCCCTGTCCACCGGCCGCTCCCCCTCTCACGGGGCTGTTGCAAAATGAGATCAGGGATGTGAAATGAAGAAGGACCCCGGGCTGGCATGGGCGCAGGAAGCAGCCTTGCGGGGGTGGGCACAGAAATGAGGAATTTAGTGGAAGCAACATTCTCAGGAGGAGAATCCAGAACTGGCCCTCGGGCGATGGTGGGGTGACTGGGCCTGGGGCAACCAGCGCCCTGCTGGGGTGCCAGGGAGTGGGTGGGGGCTGAAGGGCCGCCCGCTGGGCCTGGGAGGTGTTTTGTCCACGGCTGGAATCTCAGCACCCGGTCGCGGCTGACACAGAGCAGGGGTAAAATTTGTTGAATGAATAAAGGATTGACAACAGTCGACTCTACAGAGGGGGGTGGGCAGCGGGAAATGCTCTGGGGGTCAGGATGGGTGCTAGACACCCATGAAGGCAGACAGGAGAGCGTCAGCCTTGGCCACCTGGGCCCCCCACCCCGCCCCTGGGTCCAGGCTCCAGGCCACCAGCGGGAGCAGCTCAGTCTTCCCTGGCAGCCCCCGGGGCCCCACCCTGGCTTCCCAGCCTTCTGACAACCTCTTCCCTTCCACGCTCCTGAGGGTGCAGGCCAGTGACCTTCTTCCAGGCCTGGTAAATGCGCGGGGCCCTCCAGTCATGGCCTGCAGGCCTGCGCCAGCCCCTCTCCCTTCGTGTCTGCCCTCACCTGGGCCTCAGTCGACTGCGTGGTGAAGGAGCTGGATGGCTGGTGAGGCCCCGACTCCAGGGCCCCTTCATTCTGAAGTTCAGAAGTCTCTGTACAAGACACAGAGGACCAGCCCATGATCACTATCTTTCAGAGAAAGTGAAACCTGGTCCCCAACCGTCACCACGGCGACTCCCCCTCCCCGGTTCCCCCTCTGAGCTCATCACTTCCCCATCTCCTCCACTCCCCACCTGACAACACCGCCCCCCGCCCCACCAGCCAGTACGTGGAATTAGACTTTCATCTTTCCTTTTTCCTTCAAAGAACTGTTGCCTTTTATGTCCATGACGACGGCAGCAGCCCTGTGAGGTGGGCTGGGAAACGCTTTTCAAATCCTCATTTTACAGGTGGGGCCTCTGAGGCCCAGAGAGGTGAGGCAACTTGCCTCAGGTCACACAGCCTGCCAGTTGAACCCTATCTCCGGTTTCTCCTGCTCTGAGTGCCTGGCTCTCCCCAGAGGACCGGTCTGCAGACAAAGGGCCGGGCTGCCGCAGTGGGCCTCGGCTGGGACGGGGCGTGCTGCTGGGGGCGTGTAGGTCCTGGGGCCAGAACCACAATCTGGGGGCTGCCAGCTTGGGTCTGGCTCTGTGCCCAGAGCCCGGTGGTTTCCGCTCACAGATGTCCCAACAGCCCCGGCAGGAGGGCGGGAAGGGCACTCAAGAAGGAAGATGTCTTGCTCCCCTCAGCCCCAAACCACACTGGCCTGTGCCCTGTGAGGCCGATGGCTGCTGGGCCCGTCAAGGGGCCCGGCTGGCGGGCTTCCCCTCTGTCCCAGGCCCAGCACCTTGCGCATGGCATGGACCCCCTTGCTCCTCGTTCACCCCAGGAAGGCTGAGGCTGCCGTTTGCATCATCCTTGGGCGTGGGGCTGACCTCGAAGAACGAATTCGAAGAAAACAGGAGGAGGAGCAGGCATGCCGCTGTGCCCAGCACCCATTGGCTCGTGGAAACTTTGGTTTTTGGGGTCATGTTCCCAGAAGGCCTGCCCTCCCCCCACCCCCTCCCCACCCACCTCACGAGGTGTTGGCCAATCGCCCTGGCAGGCAATAAAGTGGCTGTCAGCCCGCAGGACTCCCAGCCTGGAGGTGTCATCCCCAGCAGGCACAGGCCAGAGCTTGGACACCCAGCATGTGGGCACAGCACACGAGGAGGGCGCTGCTCAGTAAGTACTTCCTTCCTCCCCACCAGCACCCGCTTTCTCTGAACCAAGGGTGCCGGCGGGAAGCAGGGGTACCCTCTGTCCTGTGGGAGCTGGGGAGACCAGGCACTGGCCAGAAGGATGCTGAAATGGAGAGAGAGCCAGGAGGTCAGGCAAAGACAGGGGTCCGCTGAGAACACAGCATCTTCACAGTGTGGAGAAGGAGTATCCCAGGAGGGCTTCCAGGGAGAGGCAATGTAAAGGCAACTCAGGGAGCCGGGGAGTAAGGGAAGGGAGCGAATTAGGAGAGAGGCTGGGGCAGAAGGGGGAGGCGGGAGCTGTGCTGTGAGAGGAGGAAGCTGCAGAAGCTCAGCAGAAAAACAGCGCAGTGTCTGGAGGGGCCTCCTTCTCGCCTTGATTTGCATGCAGGGTCTGGGATGAACAGACCCAGTCAGCCAGGCCCAGGGGCTCTGGAGCCCACACAATCACACAGCACACATAGCCACACCCACAGGGTGACACACACACAGAGCCATGTGACATCATCCAGAGCCCTCAATCTCACCAACCCGGGATCCCCCGTGTGCAGCCCGGGATGGGCCACAACTGCTCCCACGAGCCTCACACAGACCTGGCGGATGCCAGGCAGGCGCCCTGGTCCCACCTGCACACTCGGCAGATCCCTGGGGAGGTGGCGAGAGGTGCGCTGTGGTCGCTGTGCCTGGGTGCCCGGCCCCTCCACCCTCCCCAGCAGCGTCTTCCCCAAGGGGCCGGATGGTTCTTAGGAAGCGAACATGGTGTCACTGCCTTCCGGGCCATTGCACCACAGGCCCCTTCCGACCACGTGGCTGCCAGTGGGTGGGGGGAGGCAGAGGAGCCGTAACTGAGCCCGGCCCCTCAGCGTGTTCTGCTGGGCCCTCAGCATCCCTATGAGCCTGCCAGGAGCGGCCACTTATGGAGAGAGGAGGAAGGCTCAAGGTTGGGGGAGTGGCTGGCCTTGCATAACTTGGGCAACCCTTCTTGGGCGCCAGTCCCGTGGCAGGGGGCCCTGGGGCAAGAGCTATCCCCTAGCTGGAGGTCTTGCAGACAGCTGCCCACCTGGGCCACCCCATGTCAGCTCCTGAGGTAGGTAGGATTGACAGGCACAGGAGCTCCAGGCAGGCCCCACAACCTGCTCCTAAAGGCCAAGTGGTGAATCGCTGCCGCTGTCTCAGGTGCTGGGCGGTAACTCCCCGGATGGGTGTCGGTGGTCCCGGCAGGAGTTCCCGTGCACACAAAACACCCAGTCCCGCCCTCCACAGCACAGGGGCTTGCTGGTGGGCTGCACCCTCTGAGCACCCTCCCCTCTCAAAGCTGCCCTCCCAGGGCTTCCTTGCCAAGTCGGGTGACACCCCCTTTCTCTGCCCCAGGTCTGATCCTCAGACTCCTGTTCCTGAACCCAGTGGCCACAGGCAACTGCTCGGGAAATGGCCAAGAGCTCCTCAAGCAGCTCCAGCATCAGGCGGACTTCATGAAAGACACCAGCCGGCTCCTGGACCACTATGTAAGCATCTGGCCCCCGGGGCGTCTGAGTCTCAGAGAACTTCGGGGTTAGGGCGCGACTAAGCCCCAGAGAGGGTTGGGTCCAACTCCCATTTGCTCAACCCCAACTCAATAGGGAGGTGGGGGGCAGAGGAACTGAGTCCCTGTGTTGTTCAGGACCATGCCAAACATCCAAGGCCTAACCCTAGCTCCCCTCGCTCAGTGGCCTGGAGTGTGAACCCTGGCCACACAACCCCATCCCTCCGTCTGCCCAGGTGTTCAGTGCACACCTATCACAAGCCTTGTTCGGGGCTCCAGAGGAGCAGCAGTGAACAGAACAGTCTGCCCTCCTAAAGCTCACGTTCACTTTCCCACTGACACGCCCCACACCACAATAGCCACCAGTGTGGTCATCCCCACAGGGCCCCCTGCAACCCTCTGACCCTGCCTGCAGTGATCAGGGTGTCCTCTCCCCTCTCGGGCCTCAGCGTCTGGATCTGTACAATGGGCAGCTTGGATAGGGGCCGGACATGGTCAAGCATTTCAAGGCCGACCAGAGCGGGCTTGCCTGTGTGTGTACGGCCCGGCTCCAGCACTCACCCTGACTCTCCTTCCCCTCCAGATCCGCATCCAAGGCCTCGACACCTCTGGACTGAAAGAGCACTGCCAAGAGCGCCCTGGGGTCTTTCCCAGCGAGCACGTCCTGCAGGGGCTCAGCAGGAGGGGCTTCCTGCGGACCCTGAACAGCAAACTTGGCCATGTCTTACACAGACTGATTACTTTCCAGCAGGACCACCCCAAAGTCCAGGACTTGGGGATGGTGAAGATGTACATTCATGGGATCAGGAACAACATCTATTGCATGGACCAGCTGCTTCGAGGCTCCTCGGAGACGGCTGAACCCACTCTGGCCAGTCCGGGGACCTGGCCACCACACACACCTGCCTCAGACGCCTTTCAGCGCAAGTTGGAGGGCTGCCGGTTCCTGCGTGGCTACCACCGCTTCATGCACTCCGTGGGACAGGTCTTCCGCAAGTGGCGGGAGACCCCGAGCCGGAGGAACCGGAGACACAGCCCCCAACGGGTCCTGCAGAAGGGGATTCGCAGGATGCAACCCTCCGTGAGGGGCAAGAGGCTCGTGCCCAGGGGGCAGCTGCCCCGGTAGCCTTAGGGACCCCACAGCAGGTGAAGGATCAGCAGGTGCTCCTCGGGATGGTGCCACCTCAGGGTCTCCAGACCTGCTTTCCACCTCTCAGAAGTGCACTTTAAGGGGTGAGAGCCAGGTGGGCTCCTCTACCTCCTCCCAGGTTGGGGGGATAGGATCAGACCATCACGCCTCCCCAGCTGTGAGTTCCTCAGTCCCAGTGGGGCGACTGGGTCAGGCCACGCGGGGCCAACTTTCCATTGATTCAGGGGTCTGATGACACAGGCTGACTCACGGCCAGACTGACTGGCCCCCCTTCCCCCCAACTCTGCTCCCCGGAGGTCTGTCGGCCCTTCCTTCTCATGACTTGCAGAGCTGTTGCCCCCAGACTTCCTCCTTTCCATGGTGGCGTGGTTCCAAGGGGGAGGTCAGGGTCTGAGCTGGCCTCCTATGCCTCATCGCCAGTCTCAGGCCAGACACCTGGACGTCTGGGTGACCTCACTTTAGGCAGCTATGACAGGGGCACGGTGTCATGTAAGAAGCACTGATCTAAGAGGTCCAAGGAAAGGGGCTCAGGTCCCGCTTTGGCCCCTAACTCATTGTGTGGCTTCAGGCAAACCACTTAACCTCTCTGGACCTCAATTTTGCTTTTGTGAATCGAAGGGGTTGGGGACCGTGTAAAGCCCCCTCTGCCTGTGAGCTGCTGGAACTCCATGACATAGGGTGGATTTCAAATTCTTTCCATAAATCGGGACAGATGGGGCAAATGGACAGGGGTGCAGACTGCGTTCTTTGCAGGAGACTTTCCAGTGTCTAGCCTCCTCTTGGGTTCTGGCTGCTCAGTGCTCCTCCTGGTGGTGGATCTTGGAATTTCCTCATGCTGAAACCATTGTCTTCCTGAAGGGTTACGGGTCAATTCCTTGCAGGGACAGAATTAATTTATCAATTTTTATCAGTTTTTATGTGTTTTTTAATTTATGAGGCTTATTTATGATGTATATTTAATGTTAATATTGTGCCAACATATATTTAAAACGTGCCTGGTTTCTAAAGCCCCTGTGTCTCTCTGCTGCCTTGTGGGGGAGGATTTGGGATCGGCTGGCCTCCTGGAGAAGGGGCGGTTCCTAGTGGCGAGGCCACAAGCGGCAACCACCTGAGCGGCTGCAGCCTTGCGTCTGAGCCCCTGAGGGCTGGAGCTCCTTGCCCTACCCAGGGACGGAAGTCTCATGCGCCACTCTGACTGTGGGGGCGTCTCAGACACAGACAAAGAGTTTGTTGTGTCTGAACAGGTCTCCCCTGAGACGTTGCAGACCAGGGCCGCCCGGGTTGGGGAGCACGGGGTGGGGGGGTGCAGGCTGGAGTGCGTGGCTTGTCTGGCCCCTGTGGGCGTGTGGCTGGGTGTGTGTGCTGATGTGTGTCACATGAAGTGAACAAGATAATAACAGATCCTGCCTCAGATGTGGCCTGTGACCTGGTTCTGTGCTTAAAACTGCTTCCTGAAGAGCCTTAGTGGGTGGGGACTCTATCGGGCCCCCAGAAAACTGGGCTGCCTCCCAGCGGAACCACCTCAGGAGGGGTACCTATAGGCTGATGGATGATATGCTAAGGTAGATGCTACAAAGGAAGGGTTAATTTAATGGAAGCCCATGAACTTGACCTGGATCAGTCCCCACCTACTCCTGCTTCCTGGGATTGGGGCCAAAGGTGAAAACAGGACTTGATAACAGAAGTGGAGGAGATCCCCATGCGGGACTCTTTCCAATAGATACAATCCACTTGGCGGATCAGAAGACTGAGGCTCAGAGAGTTAGTCACCTGCCCACGGACTCAGAGCAGTGTGCTGCGGGCGAACACATTTTGAATTCAGGTCCGTTAGGTGCCAGGGTGGGAGTGTCTTCCTGTTAAGCCTCCTGTTGAGCCTTCCCGTCAGCCTCTTTAACTCTGCTGACAGTTTCACGAGTCCCTGAGGGCGCAGAGCTCCCCAGGTGAGGGGCTGGCAGACAACAGACAAGCGAAAGTGCTAACGGGTGCCTCCGAGGCGGTTGGTGCAAGCTCAGCAAAAACAAAGCATCGTGATGTAATAGAGTGAGTGCAAGAGCCAAGTGATGTGGGTGGTCAGGGTGGCATCTGAAAGAGGTGACATCCACTCTGCAGTCTAAAGGATACAGGTGCCTCCAGGTGGCACGGTTAGGGCAAAGGTTCCGAGCATTTGAGGATCGGAGTTATCAAAAAGGCCCAGAGAGGATTATCTCGCTCCGGGTCACAGGGCAGGGCCTGGGCTCCAGCTCTCAGCCCCTGACTCCCAACCGGCCGTCTTGCTGAGCAGTGGCCCAGTCCTCCAGGCTCTTTACTTAAGTACCTGGTAAGGGTTCTCCACTGCCCCCCACTGGACTCTCCCTTTCACTCGTGTCCCTTCCACGCTGGCCACCTTTGGGTGAGCTCTGTCCTCTGTCTGTGCTGTTCTCATGGTCTGGGCCCAGCAACTGGGTTATTTGTTCTCTCAAAACTGCCCCATCACTGGTAAGGTGTTTGCATTCCCGTCCACTTCCCTCACTGGCCTGGAGCTGCAGAGGAGGAGACCGTGTCTGCTTCTCTCTGCTCTGTCCAGCACCCAGCACAGTGTCCGCACGCAACAGGAGCTCAGTGGAGAGCAAGACAGAAGAGGGCCCCGCGGAAGTCAAAGCCCTGAGGAGCGTGCCAGGCAGTCTGGCTCAGAGAGGTGCCACCCAAGTGCTGTCAATAGCAGACGGCCTCTTTTCTGCCCTGCCCCGGCATGGGGTGGGGGACTTTCCTCGGGCTGGGCTGCTGGGCTGCTGTGGGTGGGAGGTGGCAACTGAAAGCCAGGCACGCTTAGGCTCTCGGAGCGGGAGGTGAGCAGAAGGTGAGCTGCCCACGGAAGGGGCATGTTGGTCGGCAGGGGAAGAACTGGGAAGCCCAGGCTGGCTGTATCCCGCCTCTGGCCCGGCCCCTTCCAGCCCCCCCAGCTCTGTGGGTGAGCCCCAGGAGAGGGGTCTGGGGCTGGCCTAGAGCTGGAGTGGCATCTACACCACAGAAAGCAGACCAAGGATCTCTGGACTCCGGGGCAGGGGTCTTGGGGGTCTCACCTGTGAGGACTCGTCGCCACCACACTGTCTCCTGACGAGACTGCAGTTGCAGGTGTCCCCAGACCGCCGTTTCCAGCCTGGTTCTCTCCAAACCCAGATCCACAGACCCAGCTGCCAGGAACATCCATGGGCACCTCAAGGCCAAACTCGCTGCCCAGCCTCACACCTTCCTGAGTCCTGCAGGCCCCCACTGAAGTTCCAGAACCCCAACCCATTTCCTTCTCTTCCTGCAGACTCTCCTCTCCTCCCGTTGACCACAAAGACCTGCACCCTGTCTCTGGCACACGCCCTCTTCTCCCAGCTGCCAGCCCGGTCCCTGCTCCCTGGAAACGGTCTAAAATCTCACCCTCACGTCTCCTATTCACGAACTTCCGATGACTCCCTCCTGTCCCACTGCCCGTGGCATCAACTCCGACGTCCTCATCACCGCGCGCCAGGCCGACACTGCCGGCCCGTCTCCGCACACCCAGCTGGCATCCTGACCGCCCCACTGCCTGCGTTTCCCCTCCCACCCGCCCAGAGGGTCTCCTCAAACGTCCCTTCCTCATCGACTACCCCAATCCAGAGAGGCTTGCGGGACTTCCCTGGGCTGAGGGCAGCTAGCAGGGGGTCGTGTCCAGAGTGAGAACGACCCCTCTCTGATCTCCCGGGTCCCACACAAACAGTACCCGCTGCTGTGAGACAGCGGTTCCCATGGCCACCTGCTGTGACAGGCAGCTGGGCGGGGTTCTAAGAATAGCTTTTGTGCCACAGAGTGTGTCGATCCCCCCACGAGGCACACTTTCCCTGGGGTGGAGTTCCGCCAGGAGCCTGCAAATAGCAAACCCTCTCCACGATGGCTCAGGCGAAGGGAAAGAGTAGCCGTGGGCCACGGGCGAGCCGGCACGGGCTGGGCAGCCAGGGGAGGCCTCATGGGAACCTTCTGCGGAGATCGACTCCATGCCAGGTTTTCTTTTTCAAGTTTTCAGGGTGACAGTCACAGCCCCTTAGTCAATGCTGCCTCATGGAAAATTCCCCAGGATAGAGGGCCTGGAAGGCAGGAAACTGCAGGGGAGAGGGGGGAATGGGGTCCTGCCACTAACTGCCCCCCTGCAAGTCACACTCATGGCCTGCAAATGGCAGAGCCAGGTCTTTGGCCTTCATGCCCTTGTCGCCTTCGCCGCCACCAGTTCTCATGTGATTTCCCCCCCTTTTCTCCTGGGATGAGAAAGTACTTGGGTGTTAAACAGAATGAGTTGAAATCCCAGCCCCCCTGCCCTTAAGCCGTGTAACCTCCCAGGCTGGGCCTCAACTTCCCCCTCTGTACGAGGGACTAACTCGGCCCACCCCCCGGGCTGGAGGCAGCCCACACACAGCACCGCAGCTGCACTGTCACAAGCTGTCACTGAGAAGGTGCACAAGCAACGTTCTCTTTCTTTATTCTCTCCCTCTCCCTTTTGCTTTTCTTTGGTTTTCTTTCTTCTAGCTCTCTGTCCCCCTGCATCCCCCCGCCCCCACACCGGGCAGGCCTGGAACCAGAACTGTCCACAGAACCCCTTTCCCACGCTGAGGGAAGGGTCACAGTCCACAGTCAGAGTGGGGAGGCCCTTGGCAAGGCCAGCCCCACTCCCTGCTTCCTGGGGCGTCCCCGAGGGCTGGGCTCGGGGAGGGGCGAAGGTCTCGGAGGGAGGGGGTTGGGCAGGTGGGGCCCTGCATTGTGGAGGAGGGCGGACCAGATGGGTGAGGAGGTTCCAGGGTTCTGAGGGGGGTGCCAGGGTAGGGAGCTGTGGCTTGGAATGGAACCGTATCCAGGGGGGTGGCTGCAGCCCTGTGACTCTTCTGGGGACAGGGACAAGGGAGCATGGCCCTGGTGCACACGGCCTGTGGCAGGTCTGAGTCAAAATACCTAAGGCCGACCCTGGCCGGTCATGCGGAGGGCTGCCCAGTCATCGCCTTATGCCGGCCTGGGTCACTCAGAAGGGCTGGGCGCCGCCCAGTCAGCTGTGACTCAGGTCCCGGCAGCCTCGCCACACGGCACTGGGCAGGGGCCTGAGGCGCAGGGACCCCCCTCCCCACCTCTGGCCCCACTTTTCCCCTCACCCACCCTGAAGATCCTGTCTTACCTGTGTCAGGTGCAGTTTGGCCAGGAATCTGGGGTTCTCTGCCCCTGTTGGCCCCATCTCTTCATCTGGGGGGTGGGGTAGAAGTGGGGGGAGTCTTAGAGCCACCCGGCCCTTGACGGAAGTCAAGTGGGGGGCAGGGTCAGGAGCCGGCTCCAGAGAGGATTCAGCAGGAGAGGGAAGCAGAGGGGCCCGGCCCCGAAGACGACAGTGTCCCACTGAAGATCTGGCACTCACCCTGAGAGACGCCGGAGGGTCCTGTGCGGGCACAGACCACGGTAGGCTTCCCTGATGGGGCAGAGATGGGGGTGGGTAGATGCTGGCCCCCACATTTATCCTCAGCAGGGCAAACGCGACCTCCTCCCTCATGTGTCTGGGAGGTACCTGGTGGCCCACACGCCCTCCAGGCCTCAGTCCTCCCATCTGTGTGACGGGCGAGGTGGATGTTTGAGGTAAAGAGGACAGACCAGATGTGAAAGCGTCAGGTGGACACGTGAGGGGTTAAAGATCATCTCGGGGTTAAAGGGCAGAGGAGAGAACCCAAAATGGAGAGGAAAGAATCCTGGCTTTTTGTGATCCTAGGAAGTCATCCCTCTGGGGCTATCGATTCCTGGATTCCCAAGGGACCTTCAAGGTCCTTTTTCTGCAGATGAAGATGAGGCAGGGAGAAGGTCCCTGTCCCTCCAGCGGAGACTTGGTGGGTCACAGTGTGGCACTGGTCTGCCGTGCTTTGGGGAGAAGGGTGATGATGCCTTTTGCCAAAGTGAACTTCTTTATGGGAGGCTCCAGGGTGTGGGGTGTG